AAGGCTATCACTTTTATTAAAATCTTAATAACTTCTTGGTAGAAAAATGATTGAAAGTTTCACATGATGTTGAAATGGCCTTGCAAGACTTCATGGACTCATGCATCCCACACTTCTACGACAGCGTTGTAACAAGTTACTACTCCATATAGCAGAAAGTCATACTTTGAACTAAAGCTTGTGAAAAAAGTTCATAAAGTTTACCATTACGTATTACATAGTGACCGACCTAATATTCGTTTAATAGTACATATTTGTATGAAGAAGGCTGTGATAAGAGCGCCGGCAAACAATACTGCCGGAATGATGTGAAAAGCACGAAAATTACTGCGTCAAGCTCCTCAGAAAATGCTAATAAATAACATTTGTTTAGCTTGGCCAAGCCAGTTGACGTGTTTATTAGCTAAGATTAACGAATTGTGGGAACTGCACGCAGGTACAACGATTGTACATGAGCAGCTGTACGTTACGTGTTGATTCTTGTTCTATTTATTACTATTTTTACTGGATCACGACAAAAAATTAACTTTTACAATTTTACGAATATTCCTAGAATGATTTTATCTGAGGACACCCGTAGATAGTATTCAATTTTTTATTAACTTTTGTTGTTCAATATAACCAAACCTGAAATCATGGTTTAGCTAATAGCTGAGCAATGCTTCTCATTGTGGATCTATTAGATTCGGCTAAGTTGACTTGATCTCTCGTATTTTTACGAGTATGCGATTATTTTCTAATGTTGTTCTTGAAAGTTTTCTTTCTTTTTTGATATGGTTAATATTTAGATTCGAGTACGATAGGTTTAGGCATAGACCATGTTACCTTAGGAGAGGGCAGAAAAATACGTGTATTAATTTAGGTTGAAGGCAATGAAGCTATATTTTGACAAAGCGATAGAAAAAGGCCGGACTAGAAAAACACCGTAAGCATATCTGACGCAATCTCCAGCTACCCACATCTCCAAGCCGCCACATAGTAGCTATCAGAAAAATCTTCTCGTTTTTTCTGATTTCCTGTAAAACCGGTTCTAAGATGCGACGAAGCAACCTCAAGAGGCTGTAAAAACCGAGGCTCACATTCCAGTGTATATGCGCATTGTACTTGATCTGAATATTTAAAATATGAAGTGCGCTGGTCTATCTGATCTATCATGTGATCAAATTAGATTGGCCATGTTTTGCCAGCTTTTTGAGGTCGATTACTGAACAAATCATTTTCTGTTCAGTTTATTTATCTGTAAAATTATAGTAGTGTTTGTCCTTATTAAACGCTAATTTAGATAGAATCAACGCGGCTTGGACAGCTAAGTGTGTGGTACGAGACGACCTGAATAAATTTTTTTTATTTCGTAAATGATTATCAGCTTTTTGAAATCGTATAATAACAAAATAACAGTTTACAATTCAGATTCTCAGCTGGTAAGCCATTTATTTAATTTGAATGGCAATAGAAATATAAAAATTGAGATTCGTAGTCGAACATTATAGGAGATTTCCATTATTTTTCTTAATGGAACTTAGAGATGTACCAGTACAAGCAAGAAAAAAAATGTTTACACGTTACGACTGTAATATTCAAGGTGATAGAATAATAGTGCAGTTCCGTTAACTGAAATTTCATACTGTATCGAAGTTAATAGTTATATGAAAACGTATTATACGTCACTGTCTAGTAGTATGTTTCACCCAAACATTATTAAAACATGGATAGTCTAAATATGTTTCGAGTACTTTTTCCGTTACTGTTCCATTGGTATCAAAGAATAAGGTTGACTACTTGTGACGTTTTGATAACAACCATTAGGTTGGAAGGCCCAGGAAATCCGACTGAGAGTAGGTTAACGTCAAAGCTTGTTCGAGCATTAGTCAAGCATGCGGAAAGTACGTTACGTACACCTTCCCACTTTAACCACAGCCGGTCAACATAGCAATGGCTCTAAGTAAGCTCGTAGAGGTGGCTGAAAGATAGCTGCAGCTTCTTACGAATTCGCTAATATAAATTTGTCTTTATCATTCTATATTTTGTAGTTTCTGCTTGTCCCAACAGATGGTTCGAGTTCGTCGATACAATGTATGAGGTCTGAGCTAAACGTGTGTTAAACTGCCGGAACAAAATGCACGACATTTCAAGCCGCGCGTAAAGCTACGAAAATCTGTCAACTTATAAAAATAAAATTCATTGATGTGGCTATAATTTTTGCTTATATTTTATCGTTTTAGAACGTCATCACGTAACGTGGCGGTTGCTCAATATAGCCAAAAACAGAACGATATTGCTCATGACGATAGGATACTTAGTTCGCAGAATTAAGTATCCTATCGTCATTGGGGACGAGATATCTAATTGACTTGGGTGGGTCCAGGGAGGGTTAGGTGATTCTAAACTATTGCAATGGAAAATGTAGTAATGGCGGATGCACCAACGGAGAGTGTTCCGTCCCGTTGTACAGGGTGAAGGACTGACGTACGTCTAAGCCGCCTCGCTCTTTCTCTTTATTTGTTCTAACATGTCACCTAGGTTGGATGATGAAGAACGAGGTAACATACGGTGTAAAAAAAAATTGTAGGTAACTAACGCATTTTTTAACACGGCGCTTGTAACAACATTTGGTGCTAAACGCCCAAAATATATAATCTAATCCGCAATAACATAAGTGAGTGTGTGTATACAATGGTAATTGGAAAGTTAGGATATCATTGATGAACATGGCATTTCAGAGCGAGCGTTAGAGACTACGTTAGTGCTGAATCCTGTGAACAAAATTATAAGATTATTTCTATAAATGCTCGTGAATATTCTGGAAAAATATTGCTATACATAAACAGTAATTATTATGCATCTATTAAAAATTAGTGATGTTATGCTAAAACCAATTCGATTTCGCTGCCCTTTTTTTTATCGAAATGTCGAACGTTTACGTTAACCATTACAAACGTTTAGTTACTCTTCACGTTACATCTATTCCACGAGGTTTGGCTATAGAAAAGAGAGAGATCACTAAGCGAGAACAATCAATTTTTATCAGACCCATTAGATGTGCAGTTGGACGTGACGCTATTAATCAGCCGCTTACTCTTGACCTACGCCAATACACTGATGTACGTGAATGCAGTGGATTTTCAAGCTTATACGAGAATCTCAAAGTATTATAAGATCCGGAGGAATAATTAGGGAGATCTTCAATGGAAATTGCTGAATCAGGGAATTTGCCCATTTAATACCGCTAATAAAACCATTATCTAATCAGATATGAAAGTTTTTTTTATGAAGACTATAACATAACGTACTATTGTTTACAGGCTGCCATACAGGTTCTGACTATGCAGCTGCTTTTGTGTCGTTGTTGCCGCATCCATCATATATTTCTATCGATGCGTATCAATCTCATTATTATTAAGGCCGTTCCAGAAAACGCTCCACTCATTCATTCATTCGCTCATGCAGTCAAACGCATAACCATTGTCCCGTTCTACTTCTGTCTAGTAATTCTGTTTTGATGGCTGGTGAGAAGCTGTAGCTGTTACAAACTACAATGCGGCAAGATGAAACGAAAAAGCGTAGGCAGGGAACGAAAGCATGAATGAAAGTATTGGTGAAATGCTGAGTGATGATACCGAACGTAAAACTCAAAACACAGAAAGGGAGAGAAGGCGTAGAGCTACGTATGCCCACCTGGCGAGTAACGGCATTTTCTGGTTAGTTCGACAATTAGGCGAATGAATAACAAATTGGTTTTTACTGGTTTTCTCTCGCGGAACGAGGATAAAGAGAAAGTTTGAAGAAGCAAAAAAGGAGAGAAAACATCACTTTGCCGACAGGTAGCGTTGATGTGATTACCGTTAACATCGGGAAAAAGCTGCGATCGGTTTAGCAGGAAATTCCCATGAAAGAAACCTATATTTCAAAAAAAAAAGGGATTATCCAAAAATCATTAAACAAGTTCTAGCTATTGTGCTAAATAGGCAGTTAATTGGTTAGCTGCTTTAATAGCACATAAACATAAATAATAAATAAACATAAAAACAGGGCAAAATAAAGCTGTTTGTCATGTTCATCGTGCAGTGATTCTCGGTGTCTTCAAAAGGCTGCCGAAAAGAAAGACGGAAAAGGACTCTGGTAAAAAGAAGGAGTGTTGGAAAGCGGAGCACCTTGAGACATATCGGAAGGCTCGGCAAATCTCGATTTGGTCATGACGATATATAGGGCCGTAGTGATGGTTTAAGGCCAAGCCTGCATTTTAAGCAAGTATAGTCAGTAAGCTAAAGCTTCAGTCTTCAACCAGAACGCGAGCGAACCCGTACGCGGAGAGTCAACAGCACACCAACATAGCTGGCTTTAGGTACCCACAAGAATACAGCAAGACTGATGGTTTCAGCTACGCTAAAAACAATTAATACGGATCTGGATCCAACACGACCTCTCGATCGTTTAACCCTCAGCAGTGTGCCATGGTCAAGCCGGACGACTTGTTTTCTGTACGAAACTAACTACGTACTTGATTAAACGGCAACTAAATGGAGGCTTACGTATATCTGAATATATTTTGTAAAAGCAAAAAGATATGGAATAATATCCCTTTGTATTTGTGCACGCACAGAAAAAACATTTTAGGCCAATATAGCCTTACAAGCAAACAGCCGTATAAGCACCAAAAAAAACCCTTTTAAAAATAGTGCAGCTGGGACGATTCACTTTTTATAAACTGCGCCGATTGATTGTTAAAAATGGGCCGTGAAAATGTCAACCCATGAACTTAAATGATCCAACAAATCATAAAGGATATTTATGAACAGATTGCTGTTCCAACTGTTCATTGTCAGTTTTAAATTTCACATGAATTATGTTGCTTATGGTGACTCTATAGGCACCATGTAATTAATCATTCTTGAAAAATAAATAAGGGCTACACTATTTTTACTTGGTTATACAATTCGAATTTTCTTTTTATTATTTGCTCAGTACACACTGTTACTAGGAAATTCAAGACGAAAATTTACATTAAAGACGAATTCACAGTTTTTGTGTGAAACAGACATATATAGATTTATTTATCATCCAATGATATATTAGCTATATCTAACGTCGTGCAGAATTAGTGGAATTCCATATTACGCTGAATTTACTGTATCCTTTTCAACAATTTTCTTGATATCTGCAAGGAAAAAATAGTATATGAATTACAAATATGCTACTAGAAAAATTTCAAGAACAGGCTTTTTCGTTGCTTACCCGATGCTAGGCCCTGCATTTATTAGTTTCATGGTTATTTTTGTTGCTGTCCAAAGTCTTACGGTTCGAAATCTCTTGTATTTGACGTATTGCATCTCCGGTCAATCCGGACAGACTACGTCCATCTCCCAAATTCTTTAAGCGACCTTTGATAACCAGTTTGTTTCTCATAAGAGAAATAAGAACTTCTCTCAGTAAAGATAAAAGCCAGTAGACCTTTTGCCAGACATACTAGGTCATCTATTCGACACATAATCTTTAAGAAATTCTACGACAAGTTATGACAAGAAAATGAGACAGTCGAAATACGTTTATTATCGTGCCTTTCAGTAAGTGTAGTCGGCTGAGCTCTCCATGAAGGGATAGAATAACATGAATCAAAGCTATTGAATACAATTCCCGAAGTTGTTTTTAATTTTGAAGATTGAGAACCGAACTAATCTACACTGATAGTGCAAAAATAATGTTACGAGCGTAAATCACATGCAGAAATGACACAGGTTATGCCACAGTTCAGAAATATATGAATTAGGTAGGACAGAAAATATGAATTAGGTAGCTACCTGATCTTTTATGATAACAAAACTAAAATTAGCTTGTTTGGCCAAATGACAGGTTACAGAGCTCCGTCTTTAAGATACACAAGCACTTCTGCATCTTAGTCAATCTCTAATTTTACAGTATGAACGATTGCCCGAAATATACAAAAGCATACACAATAATACGAGAAATGATCATAAAAATAGAATACTTTTAGAAGGAAAGCAACGCTTAGAAAGACTCACTTCCAACAATGTTTTTATAGGCAATTGCCGCTGGACTGTCAGGAAACTCTCGCACAAAGAATTTACCTTCATCACAGCAACGGGCTGAAATTGGAAAGCAAAGCTTCGTTTAATTAATTGATGAAGAACAGTTGTGCGTTATCTTTAATTGCCTCATTTTTGTGAGGACGTTAGTAATTGGGTCACATCCCGTTCAGGTACCAACCTTTGTGACTCCAATACAACTTCGTTTATTTAGGGTTAACACGAATAAGGCCAATTTCTTTTTACGCCATATTTTCATAAGTACACTTACCGACTAGTGGATCAAGAGGCACCTGCCCGAGGAGTCGTAGTCCGTAGTCGTTGCACATTTTTTGGCATCCCCCAGAAGCAGGAAATATTTCTGACTCTTTGGCACATTTGGGACATACAAATCCCTTCATATTTTCTATAACACCTATCACCGGAAGTGAAACCTTCTTGCAGAAGTTAAGTTCTTTGCGTACGTCCTGCACAGCTACCTCCTAAGAGTACAATAAACATTAAGTAAATGAACGAATTGCAGTGCAGCATCTCCATTTATCAAGTCCTATGGATTAGCCAATATACCTGCGGCGTCGTAACTAAGATGGCTCCATCGAGATTTGTACAGCCTCGCATGTATTGAACTATCGTTAGATGCTCATCTGAGGTACCAGGAGGCGTGTCCACTAATAAGTAATCTAGCTCGCCCCAGTCTACGTCTCGAAGGAATTGCTTGATTATCCCTGAAATTAAATCAAATATATTGAAATGTTTGCTTAATTATTTTAATTAAATACCAATTTCTCATTTAACCAGGGAGACTGCCAAATCAATAACTTTCGACCAGGCGGTCGTACATTCATCCACCCGAATTACCCATCAATGACAGAGTCTGCCAGTGATGACAAAGAGAAGGAGACGCTATGCAAATAACCGAGCAAAATTTTTTTGGAGATGTAATTCGATAAAAAATTGAGGACATTCTTGATTGGAATTTCTGTTATGGATAAATATTAACAAGTCGGCGTATTTATTTTGCAGGAAAACACTTCAAAATTCTCTTGATAAAAGAGCCAATTGGTTCATGTTTATTCAATGTAAATTCGACTCGCCTATTACACCAACCATTTTTTCGTGGTCCCCTCCAAATGACAGCGTCGTCTTTGCTTCCTAACAAAAAACCTATACTCATTAGAGCAAGGTTTTCATCAGCGAATATTGGACTCCAACCACTCCCAGACTGATGAACCTGTAACAAGGAGTAATAACTTCTGTTTGCTTTTGTATGTTGTTATTAAGAATGGTTGAAAGGGTTAGCAGCGAAAGAATTAAACGCGCGTAAAATATGATTTAGAAACCATTAGTATCTAAAGACAAACTCCAAGATTTGAAAAGTAGATGCTTTCGTGTAGCAGAAATTAATCAATGTTTAATGCAATACTTCCAAAACTAAACCCATTTCGGGTTTTTCTTCCTTAATTAATCGTCATTTGTATAGTATCCGAACGGCAGGAATTCGCCTTTACTTCGCTAGATTTATGATCCAAGATGCTTAACGATTCACACCTGTTCACCTTCGACTCCCATCATGCTCGGCTGTGAGGGTCCGCAAATATCAACATCGAGAACGGCTACCTGTTTTTCTTTGGCGCTATCTCCAACCACTTTTGATTCCTCTGCAAGGATCTTTGCCAGCATGGCAGTTACTGTCGATTTCCCCACTCCACCTTTCCCAGAGAGTACCAGAATAACATGGCCAACAGATGATAGGCGTGATCTTATCAATGCCATATCTGCAAGTTTATTTAAAAAAATTATTTAAAAAAGTGGCAAATGAAAATTTAAAATTTGGACATTAACTTTAAAAACATACTTAGATAATCAACCACCTTGTCTTCATAGTCGGCATGTCACAATTTATTATCCGATTGTCACATAGAACCTTTATTGTGGAATACTTCAAGTTTGCAGTACTTGGAGCGATTATCAGTTTAGGCATGGACGCAACATGTGTTTGACGGTATTGACGAACCACTAAACAACACCATTATATTAATTAAAAATATTGTAATTCCTAGACTTTTAAATCGAACCCTTTTGTCTGGTCTTTTAATTACTATTACCGTTTGTATGATCTGTATGATATACATCTTCAAATAAGTGGGACGTACCTGGGTCTGGTCCCTTTGGCCCAGAAGCACATGCAGCTTGATTTGGACATCCTGTGCATCCTTCAGCTGTTCCAGCGGAATCACTATTTGTTCCTGGGCAAGCTAAAATGTAGAGAACAAAATTACGTAATTAATTAATTAGATTTCGTTACAATAGTTTTACTGTACCTTCTTTTCCTACCCCTACCGAGCTTTAAGCTTTTTATGAGTGTAACATTTGAAAATTGAAAGAAAATTCTAGGGTTAAAACTTCCGTAGAGTTCTAATAAATGACCGATTGAAACAATAGCTTATACTTAATCTGAGCCTAACTTGCAAAGTACTAAACATAGGTTTGAGACATGAATTCGACTTGCTTACTATAATGCCATATCAGGAAGCGGTAAGCATAAAATTCCTGTGTAGTTAGCAACTGCATTTTATACCCCTTTAAAGTTCTATTCGAATAAGCTGAGTATATAATAAACTTTTGCTTCACTTAACCACGTAAGAAGCTTGATCATGAAATTTGCCGAGGACGCTTATTAGCAATTGAGAATAGTTTTAAATGCTGTGTCGAAATTACAATTTTTCTTGAAATAACTACCTAAATGAGAAGTAAGAGCACGAAGTCAAGAACTGTTGTGGCAGTTCTAGCAATCATTTGGTTGTAAAACGTGCAGGAAATGGATGAATTCAGTGATTCCAAAAAATTAAATTATACGAATGATAGAGAGATATAAATGAAATACGATTAGGGAATGTACAAATAATCAATTAGTTACTAGCAATCATCCAAATTCACTAAAACAGTTTGACGTTTTCTTAATTTCAGAATTTACACATCTTATAGAATAATACACAAGTGTCTTGGCTTCGTTACCCATCAGGCTATAGCCGACATTCAATTTAACTCATGTTTATTTTCGTGCATTATACAAAACATGTATGTATTGGTATGATCCATCTTTACCGACGTTTGTAACGCGTTAAGTTTCAGCATTTGATATAAGTTCGATTCCAGTAGACGGCTGCCATAAGGTATATTATCAAAAAAGGCACGTTAATTGTATCCCAAATAAATATCTTACATTGAGGAGCATTTGCCGGTACATTTGACATATTGTGATGATTTTTTGGCGCAAATTAGAATATGAAACTGTTCAACATGTCTAAGACAACATGAGAGGGACTGTGACGGCAAGTTCGAATACCGAAACAGCAAGTAACCAAGCATAACTTCGAAATTATTCACAGTTGCATAGCATAATGGACTTAAGATTAATATACATTTTTACATCTCTGCTACCTTAGATCAGTTTCTATGATATGGCTTCCTCCTGTGGTACTTGAAATGGTGGAATGAAATTTAGATTTCGACTATACATTCGATCGCTTTGTTCGAAGCACTGCCGTTCCCAACAAACATATGGAACCTACCGGATTTTGGCGTAATTCCAATACAGGTCCATACATGCTTACTCCTCGTAATAAAATTGTAAGTTGCTTACTTTTAACGCTTCGAAAAAAAGCACAGAAATAGATCAAATAATTTGCATAAAACATAGATAAGTCAAAATGCCTTTTCGTAACAAGTGGCAGAATGATACAATGTATATGGAGGAATTACAAAATATACGAGTGTATTTGTGAATATCTAAGGAAGGTATTTGGCAAAGAATATATACAGCTTGTGTGTCATGTGATACAAGGAATAAGGCAGGTTCATGCTTGATATTGACTGAAGGGCCATATACCATGCCAGCACGAAACTATATAATGTCACGAAATAAGATTAAATAGAAATTGTCAGTTGATCCTCAGATTTACACAAACGTGGTTTTCCCTTCTTGTCGTAAATCATTTTATTATTGTTATTTACTTGTCATCCAATAGTAGATGATTTCGGTGTCTAGTGAATGGCACCCGAACCGCACGTTCTTCTAGTTTGTATATCTTGATTTACCTAGTTCGCTTATGTCCAAAAGATGGCATTGACGTAAGGTGAGACACTGTCAGTTAGGTGAGTTGACACATCTGTGACTAGGCGTTTGGAACAAGCGTTCAAGACGGCTTCGTGCTTTTATGCGTCGGAATAACTACTACACTGACACTATAGTTTTTGCGGTATCGTCATGTAATTCCTTATGCTAGTCCACATAATAGAGAGATCGCACACTGGAAAATACGATACGTGGCTATCCTGACCTCATAAGGCAGACTTAACCCAGTATTTACGGCGTTCTGGTTTATAATACGCATGTAATTAATCAATAAAAACTAGAGAAAAGTGTAACGGCAAATTGGTCTCTTGGTTGAACTTGTAGTCGGAATATATATATTAGATGGCAATTCTTCCGAACATCGGGTTGATCTGAAATGCGTCTTCATTTTTGCGAAATTTAATATAGAAATTACTTAGGTGTATGTATTCTAACCAGATGATAGTCACACTATAGCCAAATGACAGGGCTAAAAAATTATATTAAATGTAAGTTGATATATTTCGTAAGCTAGATTTTACGGACCTTCATATGAAAGGTGTCTTATCTCAGCCCATTTTGCCCTATAAAATTTTATAAAAACGCTGGTTGTACGCCAGTGCTTGCCCCAATATTTGCAAGTACAGAAATCGGACTCTTAAATATACAGTTAAACCTGATTCAAGAACTATTGGACAAGTTGAGTACGATATTAAAAACTACTACAGAAGACTACAGAAACTGAGTACTGAAGAAAAACTACAGAAGAAGGATTGTATTTGATTTTTGCAAATGAATAGGAAACAATACATGTAAAGTAAGCTTCTTTACCTAAAGTTTCACCAAGGGCGCGAGATACCTTGTACAGAACCGTGGCTTAAAATGTAAGAATGGGCTTCATAACTGTTTGGTTGATGCCATCAGTGAGTGAAAAAGTAAATGATATATCGTCAACTCGACTACGTTTCAATTCGAAATATAGATTATTATAGTCTGACATTGAGGGCATTCACGAACTTAGATAATAGATGCGTTTTATGACTCTTATTATAATACAGTATAAATATTTTAATTCTCATTATTACATAGTTAAACATACAAAATTTAATTTACTTTCATTTATAGACGGAGTAACGCCAAACGCCAGAATGTCGGTTCAGGGTGACTATTCACAAAGGACATTTCATCGAGTGTCATGTAACTTCCGGGACATGTCCGAAAAGTATCGAATGGTTGTCAGAAACTTTAAATCACAGTATGCGTCATTGTACCGCGTTCGGTACGAGAGATGTCTGCCGATGCTACGCGCCAGTGTTGAAAAAAAATGGGGTATGAGTCAGTTTTCATGAGACAGTTAATCGCAAGTGTTACATCACCTTTATCCTTCAAGAAAAGCAATATTAAATTACTTCTTTAGAACCCACATTAACATATTAATTATGTATGTCACGTACCTAAACACCTACCTAAATAAATAATGAGATAGAGAAACCGGAATACTTAGGTCAAATATAAATATCAACATAATGTATTTACTGAACGCATCGATTCAAATCCCTATAAAAGCGCAACACCTATCTAGCCTATGAAGTTAAATTTCTTATCGGTATTAACCCATTCCTTACAATTACAATTTGTTCCGGTTATGTAGGTGAATCAAAGGTACCTATTGTAGATGTATGCAACCTGGAATGTGGTGCTCGTACGATCGTAGTGGGGACCCTATTCAAGGTTATGCCCAAACAGCCTTCAATTCTAAGGGAGATCTCTGAAGACGTAAGTGTATTTTAATTCAATGCGATAGCAATGCTTTGAACCGACTTTTACTATCTGTGCGTGTTCCTCGCGTAGTACAAGCATGAACCACAATGCTATATTGTACCGAGTGTAACGTAGCGCAGTTATAGAAATCTATAACCCTGCCTCTAAATCTCCAATGAGTAGGCAGGTAGGTAAGTAGTAGTACCATCATACAGATTTTTCGTTACTTAATTATCGTTATCTACTACAAGTTTATATATACATAACATTTTTTACATACATATCTTAGGTTCCTGAAGATCATCCGCTTGGGATCTTAGAGAGCGACGATAATTTTACTTCGGATGAAGACTCACTCGTTCTTGAAGACATGAGACAGCGGGTTGCTATCAAACACTCAAATCTTCTTAATGTGCACCATCTGGTTACCGGCGTACCCATAGCACTGCTGGGTACAGTTAATGAAGAAGATGCACAATTTATCGTCGAGGACTACTGTTTCATAGGTATTTAGTGAATCACAAAAGTATAGAATAATATGATCTCGACAGATGATTTGTTTACAGACTGACCTAGATATGAGACGAACCTTATCGTGCTCAGTCTTTTTGGAACGATGAGACTCGACTGATAATGCATTCTCAGCAGTTTAACAGGATCACTTGTCTAACTAACTTGTCAGAAGTTAACGATTTTTTATTTTAACTCTTCACCAGGAAATGCGTGTCGAGTGTACGCACGTAACTAACATATTTGCGTATTCTATTCTAGGCATCCAAAAACAGTTATCCATCCCAAAGATAACCGAGGATAAGTTTGTAGTGTTGTTGAGTGGCCTTGAACTTTCAAAATCCAACGACTTGACGACCCTACAGCTCTTTGTGGATTACCTAGGCGGATTTATTGGTGGAAACAAAGAAATTGAAAAAGTCAGTATAAAAATGCCTTAAGCAATTATTGTTTGAGCTAAGAGAATAATAGGTCTGCTACATCATACCTCACATGTGTGTGTGAAAATTATAAATACAACACTTATTGAACTTATGATGTTTTCAGACGGCGAAGGTTTGCCGCGTCGTTCTTTGTGGCAACTCGGTGATGGGTCGGTCGAATTCTTCAAAGTCCAACACACCTAAGTTTTCATTGCGAAAGGAAGTACCTGATAATGCCCCTTGGATGAACATGTTAGATGCGTACCTTGCAGAATTGGCTAAAACTGTCCCTGTAGATATTATGCCTGGTTAGAAGACAGCCGTACTATTTTTTCTCTTTTTGAGCTGATTGCCGTCATTTGCCGTAAAATAATCACAAACCGTACACAAACGTTAATAATTCACTCTTGCGATTTTCTAGAAAAGATACCTAACTATTTTTATTCCAAGTGAATGCCTGGACTAATGAGTTAACCCAAACACTAAGATTTCAATTTCTCGTGATGATTAAAAGCTGTTCAATTTGTCCTGGTCGGATTGCATTTGCTTTGCTACTAGAGCTTATTTTGTTCATAAAAGGACTCATGCCATGGTGGAAGGCACTACAGTCTGCGTGTGTGTATTTCAATATTAGCTTGATGCGGGTATGTGTGGAAGCTAAAGGCTCAACAGCTAGCTTAATTTGAATGACACATATTTTTGCTAGGCCCATATGATCCCGCAAACATGCTGCTTCCCCAGCAGCCTCTCCACCACTGCCTATTCCCACGAGCTGCCGTCCACGCGAACTTCATAGCTGTCACAAATCCGTATGCCTTTGAGGTGGGTTATCATCGATTTATTTGCTTAGCAACATATTTGCGCGCACACATATATACCTTCTTAAATACAAGTGCGTATATCCTCACTGCTTTAATGGTCATTGCTTATAGTTAACACTTCTATTAATTCCTATTTATAAAGTATTCATTTTTTGTATGAACCGTTGAGATGCAATGTTTCGATTATAAGAATAGCGACATCTTTCTAGTGCTATTTGATTATCTACTTATTCGCCTTCCTTTTGATCGTGACATAGGTGGATGGTGTACGGTTTTTAGGATCGTCCGGACAAAACGTATCGGATATTCTTCGATATTCACGCTTGAAAGGACCAATCGACGTTCTCAAGGCAATTCTCGATTGGTATGTAGGATTTCTGGATAAATGTGTTTACTAGATACTATTGATTAGAGATTATTATTATTACTTATAAAATCGGGGTCTATATTTCGGCTAGTCTAAAATCTAGATGCGATACCTTTTCCTTTTCAAAAAAATTTTCGCATATGTTTGATTAAACTAGCATAACAATTTGAGTAAATTGTTCACAACATAAATTTAGTAGAGTAGATTATACCCTAAATTGCTATTTAGCTAATGTAAACGCTTCGATGCAGAGAAAGAGCCTTTTGTTTAGCGATGATATAAACAGTTACATACCAGTTCTGTAGTGTTAACCGAATGTGTATCGTGATCACTATAGGGATGTATTGTCATAATACAGACGATATCATCATTCTCAGAACGTGCTTTTTTGGCGAATGTTGTGTTCGTGTTTGCTGACGAAAATGATAAACTATTATCGGTAATAGCGGATTTCGTTTTGTATTCATTTCGATGAAAATTCCACTACAGGTCTCACATGGCGCCAACAGCTCCAGATACTTTGGGAGCGTACCCTCAACAGGAACAAGATCCATTTGTTATTGAAGAGGCTCCGCATGTTTTTTTTGCTGGCAATCAAGATAAATTTGCTGTGGAGAAGCTCACTGGTATGCTAGTAGCTGAAAACACGTTCCTCTTTGACTTAAAACATAGCACTAAACTTCTTGGTTACTTATAAACCTCTCATAACATTGTTTCCGGGTTACCCATGCCGGCGCTCAAGTGGATAATTCTAGTCTGAAGCCACAAGCGCTACTAATTTTAGTAAAGTTCTGTCAGACGCATTCTTTGAAACCACCGCTTTTCGGTATCCATCGTATTTATCAAAGCCATGATACTACCTGACATACTACGCTGTACGTATTAGCTGAGTTGTACATAATATATGGATGGCGTATATTATGGCTTATCGGAAGCATTATATGTAGGTTACAGTTAAAATAATACCTTAAAAACAGTGGAAATTTTCACTGAAGCATAATCAGCAAATTTCATTCATGCTTGTTGTCATTTTTTATTGGCCACTATATTATTCATTCAAGATTGTTTTTATTTAACCTAACTGCCGTGCATTGCTTATTTGTGACTACCTGTAGATGACGAATCGGACGTACGCTTGACACTCATAAGCATACCAATATTCTCATCGAAACCTACCGCTATTTGGGTAAACCTCCGAACTTTGGACGCGTCACCACTTGATTTCGTTGTCGATACTGGGATAGAGTCTTTGTCAGATTAAACGAGAAACCAGCACATTAAGTGGTACTTGAATGATTCTACAAACGTTCTTTTGTAAATACTAGAAAATTTCTGACTAAACTTCAGTCTCTAGAAAGCTATTAAGTAGGATTTAATTAAGCTGCGTACTAACTATATTGTGATAGGTCGGTTAACTTTTCTTTTTAACTGATTGCAATTTGCCAGGCCACTTCACGGTTTGTTTATCAATAGGATTTCGCAAGTATAAATTATGTTGGCATCAAAGCAGAATATGATTGTCTAGCGGCATTTTAATATCGTAAATTATGAACCTGTCTATTGAACCTGTTGAAATTTATGACGCATGGACGAAAAATACATGCCTGACGGGTCAGGGACTATTTTGTTTTTCAGTTAATTTTCGGACGTAATTTATGTTCTTAAATCTTGTTCGTCTGCTCAATGTCATAGTGAACTTTCCGGGAAGATTCAAAGCGTTAAATATACACGCTCATATAATGATGCAAATAAAGCGGTTTGTACTGATCTAAATGATTGACCTTAGTAGAAAGCATAGACGCATAAGTTGTTATCTGAATTTATTGATTAATCGGGTATTTGATTTGTATATTTACGCATATGCGTTGTGCGTAAACTACTATGTAGCCTATATTTTGTGTGGTAGACGTAATTGTTACGAACTTTTTTTGTTGAACTGGCAAAATGATTGGTTGGATGGGGGTTTCATAATATCTCGAATTCAACCATCATCTGAAGCTTAAAAAGGAGAAGCTTTCCACGTAATTACGTACAATGACCGCGAATGTTATGACTTTTTATTTGCAATATATTTAAAATTGGTCGTTGCCCTCGACTCTAAAAAGTTTCAATTTGATAAAAAAAAAATTACATTCACGTTGAATCAAACCACAAGGCGTGGTTAGTGATTTAGTTACCAAAACTAGTAAGTATATGGTTCTTCGATAGCATAATTCTAGAACATGACATTTCTCTGCTCGTTTTCAGATTTTCTTATTTCCACTCGTGTTTATTCTTACGGCACTTGTAGTATAATTCATATTTACGAGTGAATTCAATAGAAATCAGGGAACAAAATTTTTAATTATAATTAGCGAACTTTAAGTACGGCACAATTCTAGCGGGATATAGTTAAGCGTGTAGGGTATACACGGACACACGTGGTAAGCACTCGATGTAGTACGGCCGTTTTTCAAAAATCTCGTCTGTGAAAGTGAAGATCACATTATTTGATTTGTATCTGAAGTTTAAATCATAGGTTATGTGAGGCTAACGATTCACGTATGATTGTTGATCTGATCACAAACGGATATTTGTACTTAATATTCACGCTGGCTTACCTAAAAAAATCCGACTATTTGTATATCCATGTTATAATATACGTTTACACATGCTTTTTTGTTGCGTTCACGATAAACCTAAATGACATTTAACCAAAAATGTACAACAATTAACTTTATTTTGGAATTTCGTAGTTGAACTAATTGAGAGCATGGTCGTTTGAGGTCTACATTTTCTTGAAGGTTGCTTATAAGAACGCGCGCCTACCTGGTGATAAAATGACGTATAGAACTCGACTATTCACTTGCTCATCTTTCACACGACATATATATTCACAATCGTACTTAGTTCACAGCACATACAGGGATGTCGCGTTATCGCGCGTACCATCGTACAAATTGTTCAACTGAGATATACGAGCTGCTACTTCGACAGTGTACATTACTTATTGTACTATAACAGTTTGGGTTGCCGTTTAAGCGCATCGATATCAAGAAATCTTTCTGAGTTTCTTTCGTCGAAATTTCGCACGTACCGTTCATCCGAGGAACCGTCACTAATGGGTTTAGCTTTAACTCGTTGTATGTCCTCCATTTTCATGTATTTTCGGGTGATCACTGATACTTCCCCGTTCTGTCCTACTACTTGCTTTGTAGCTTCGGCCGTCAGCACTCTGCAGATGGAGAGAGTTCAAAAAAAGTACGCTTTTCACATGCAACTAAACATGATCTGTCCTTGTGATAGCGCAGTGGGAGCGTGTTTGCTCGTTAAACTTAAAGGCACGTGGTGGCCTGGGTTCGAATTTGGGTGCAGACACACTTCGTTTCATGCTAGGAGCTAGGCGCCTAAGTAATGCCTGATGGCTTAAGTAGCAGACGTGAATTACAAAGAAGACATTAATTAAAAACGATCTCGGCCTTTAGCAATGCCTTGGCAAGACTATGATAATTATTCAGTGTTTTTAACAGCAAATTTGGGTAAAGCTTAAATAAATATTTCATGCTTTAAATCACCTATACTTTTTTTTATTTATATAACCACTTTATTACCTTATTAATTAACAACCCGACCAATGCTTCTTACCTTCGTAACATACCGATCGGCGGAGACGTTTTTCCAATTCCCAGAATATGAGGTTTGTTGAAAACTGTGTTACTATTCATAGTCGTTGTAGGGATCTGTGGACTTCTTCCAAAGTACTTTCTTGTCACCTGATCAACCAGTATGGAAGGCTGGGTTCCACTCAGTGCGAGAGATTCGTATTGCAGCCGTGGAGGAACAACAAGGCTACAAACATTATCGCCATTTAAGGCAAGATCCGAAGCCGGTTTATCCTGCAGAACGTCTTGATGCCGTAATTGTTTAGTTGACATCAGCTGAAAATAGTATACAAGAAAGATTAGCCTTTTACATAAATTTAAATAAAATTATAAAAAAAAGCTTCAATAATAATAATAATAATAATAATACTCCTTTGTGTTCATTTCAAGTAGAATAAACACTTACTAATATTATCACTATTATTATTAGATGATGGGTTTTTGATAACTCATGTCCAGTATCAAGTTGCTAACTCGTCTATAAGCACATTACCTTGAATTGCTCCCCGAGACGAAACATTACAAAGCTACCAGTCGACTGAACCGCAGCCGATAACTGCTTTCCGTCGTTCTGGTAATCCTCTTGAAGGACATTGCCTATATTTTCGTAAACATTTTCCTCGGGATCTGCATTGTTTTTTTCCTGATTATCTAACTGTTCATTGAGTAACTTCAATTGTTGATTATACGGTTTTGAAAGCAGGTTGTTAATTTCATTCGTCTTATCTTCACTCTTACTTTCGTGAAACTGAGCGGAGTTCATAAGGTTGTCAGTATCGTGTTTTAAAGGATAACAAGCTTTGTCAAATGTCTTCGGTGTATCTAACTCATAAGAGCACATGGGTACAAAGCGATGAGGTGGAGTTTCTGGGGGTGAAATGGGTCGGCAATAACCATCAGATGTAACCGGTTTTGTCTGAAATATTACAGTTTATATTTATAAACCATGGTGCAAATACCGCTCTGTTTTTAGTCTAATAGTAATAAACAAAGAATACTTGTGTAAACGTAAATTAATGAGCGTTAGCATCAAATCGATAGAAGTGAAGAACGTCGTACAAGAAACAATTGGTCACCCTTGCTTTTCACTTTCGAATAACAAGCCCTCTATAGCTAATGTTGTAATGCTAGAAATTCAATCAATGCAGATTGTAGGAATATATCACAGCCAGAACCGCCACTCGGTCCCAATACATCATTATTATTACTGAAAACCGTTACCAGCGTACTTACTGGCTCGATGATATCGTCGACTGCTACAGTGGGATGTTGTCGCGGTTCTTTTGGCGAATTTCCTCCATGGATAAGTTTCTGAGAATTCGTATTGCTGTCATTATCGCGATCTCCGCTACTTTTTCTAGTACGCGAACCCTCATCACTGCTACTAGCGACGTTATTACTGTTGCTATTGACAATAAGCATCTGTAGTTGCTCCTTGAGAAGAGATATTTCCAACTCCTGCTTTCTAATGATTTCAAGTAATTCAGGCGAGACGTTTCTGGGACTGTTACTTTCGACGTTCTCAAAACTATATCTCGAATCTGGAGCCAAACTGCGCTCTGAAGATCGTCGCTCACATACGAGCCTTGAATAAACCCGAAAGTATCAAGTCAAAAATGATTGACTTCAACAAGAAATGACTCATGTAGTTAATACTAGAGCAATTGCAAAAGTAGAATTTTAAATACAGTTCTTCGGTACAAAAATCTCACATGCAGCTTTTCTATTATACCTGCTGTTTTTCTGAGAGGGTATTACTCGGTCCAGAGGCGTCGAACTGGCTGATGGCATCGGTCCAAGGGGTTCTAATGAACCCAAGGTCTGATTTCGTTCAGGTAAAATGCTAGTCAGGTGAACGCGCTTCGGCTGCATTTGTTTCTGTAAACCTATTGTAGCGGGTGTATATTGTTGACCCACACTGGGCGACAACTGTGGAAGGGGGAAAAATGTATAAAAATGCCTATAAACTTCATATAATTCCCATAAAGCTTTCAATTAATTAAGACCCAAAATCAAAGTTAGTCTCATCAAAATTATTTAGTAAAGTGAAAATAGGGAGCAATTAAAAAAAATAAACAGCTTTGTAAAGCAAAGAAGCTTAATTAATAAACTAGTAGAACATTTGTGAACCAGTTGGGTTAGTTGAAATTGAAAAATAGTTTGGCGAATCCCCCTCAACGATCGGTTTTTTTTTAAAAAGAAAGAATTGAACTATACAGCCGTGCATTACTGGGTTAACGGTTCGTCGAACTCCGCGTGATAAATCGAATTTACTCCATTTGCCCCTTGGTAATCCTATGTCACTCACCCATATAGGAGCATCGCGGCGAGTTGCAATACGGTAGCTTTCAGTATTTACGTCTTGTTCCGTTGACTGTATGGCCGACATCTGCCCGCCTTCTGACAGATTGCGCTCGGCCGTCAGCTCCGTTCGAATTTGTTTATAGCGAGTAGAATTGCTATTTTCAGACTGATTCATCATCGTAGCGTCAAACGTAAAATCTCCATCGTCGATGAAGCACAAATCAAGAGTAATGTCAACTAATCGGTCTCGCGCACTAAACACCCTGGTCACAGTTGTTTTTTCTACGCCACTTAACACCTTCGGAACAGCGGCGACGGTGGTCGAATGGGTGGTGGACAAAGAGCAGCAACGTTATTAATACGTATGGTTTACCTAATAATTTAGGTGTTCCACAGGATAGGTACTTAAAATACTTTTTGAGTTTTTTTCACTGTCTCTGAAATAAAACGTAGTTTACGGAAATGACTTCAATAGCGACAAAAAAAAATTGCTTATCCTTTATAATAAAGATCTTATTTGATAGGAATGGCAAACTTTTACTTACCTACTAGAAACACTTGTGCATTACTAGGTAAAGAAATATTTGCTAATAATAATAATAATAATATATTGTAGTAAGTTTCTTGTCTGAGATTTTGCAGAAGTTACAGATTTTGCAAAAACTACAGACTGCGAGTGCTGGCAACAGTGGAGTGCTTTATACTTACCACTGTTCTCATGACATCATCAATAGGAATCACAGTGTAAAACGTTAAATCTCCCTCATGATCGAAAACAATTAGAACGAAGATATCTTTGTCTTTGGCTTGTATCTGCTGAAATCTTGATTTCCCACCGCACGTAGCGGCATATAATCTTGCATGAGGTGACGGCGGCTGGACCGAACTAAGAAAGTGTTGACACACCAGCCAAACTAACGGATGATGCGGTGTTTTTACGCCTGATATCCAGCTAAAAGAGAAATTGCACAACGACTGGAGCTTTATTTTATTGAAGTTGTGGCGTATCCCAGGCTTGATGATACATAGCTTTTCTAAGTAAACCTGTTTCACATGCGGGTGTACGTAGCCGCAAGAGATACGCAAACTATTACAATAAAAACGACATTTAAGTGCGCAACACATATGTAACAATGGCCCTTTAACAGCGTCTCCATATTCTTATAATATTATGGTATAGACATATTACAGGGTATAATATTACTTGGCCGTGCTGAAAGTGTACCTCATCACCTGCTCTATTTAATGTTAATAGGTCTGCGGAGCAAGCGTAGTCGCAAATATTTCATCCGTCGTCAAATTTCTGATACATCTTATGATAGAACATGTTATATGTAATGTACTAAACTGCATGGTCCCGTATTCCAATGGAGTTTGAAAGAAAGTGTTATTAGCTATCTGAAACGAAAAATGTGCACACATAGGTAATATTTACAAGCTATTGTATCTACGATTTTTGAACTCAGCAGTATCTCACACGACAAGCGTCAGATCTTATTCTACAGCGTCATTTGCATCTATGTCTATTGACTTTCTTTTATGTCCGACAGGCTATAAAAATAAAATAAAGCCAGTTTTCTTATGCTCAAAGAAAAATGACATAAGTGAAACATGTACTCCATTTTCTACTTCTGCACTTGAAACTGAAATTTGCCTTCGTCCTCTTAAATAGTGGCGTACAGAAAGTGCTACAAGCCAGGCGAATCACGAACCGTGTAACTATTCAAAGTTATTGTGAGTTTTCTACATCAAATATTTTAACATAGTTATAACCAACGATGAACGGAAACGACTCATGAAGTAACACTGAAAAACAAAAAAATGCTAAGTAGCTTTAATAAAAAAAACATAGGGTTTCAGTCGATACCTACCTGATTCCTTCATACTATTGGAATAACTTCAAGGTCGGTACATAAGTAATAGGGTTTGTTCTAGTTAACAAAAGGCGCGACATTCGGCTTGAGTCCTGGCAGGAAACGATTTATTATGTATTTGTCGCCACTCTTCATTTATTTTAGCAGAACTTATTTATTACGGCGAACACTTTTATGTCAGGTGCTCTGGAAAAACTCGTCCAATGTTGGTACTCTTTTCACTGATAATCCTACTGTTAGAAGTGTCAATGATCGGAGAGGTAGTAATCTGTTGGCGCAAGGTATTGGAAAATATGGCGAGCAAAAAAGCTGCTCACTTAGGTTCTTGCAGGACAACGTTACCTATTCTTGCCATGCGTAGCCTGGCATTATCATAGAGAAGGATGATTTCACCTCATTTATCGGGTCTCTTAAATCGGATAGCGTCCCTATAATTAGGCCCTTTTTGTCGATCCTTACTGGCTCTCTTTTTCTTTTCCAGCACTCCCTAGTGTATAAAATCTCTACAGTTCCAATAGATGCAATTTATTATATTTTAGAAAAAGAATTTGACTTAATTCGGATGTTAGATGTACCTCGCGTGGCTTTTTCAAGTTAAGAAATGCTCAAACATTTAAAAACAGCCGTTATTTATGTTGCAAATATGAATGTGTGTTGTAGGATCGCCGGCCTTTCGTTCACAAGTGTCTTTCTGTTTGAAACATTATTAAGAAATATATAGCAAACTTACACCCCTGTGACGTCCTGTCTTGCATCATCCTTCTGCAAAAGGTGGCAGCTACCTTTCGACGTACGCACCCAACCCCATAGCAGTTCCTTTCGGAGTTGACTTAGCATCCTGTTTTATTCAGGTAAAAAAAAAAGTATAAAGTTCGTAATACGAATTTGAGTTAACATCAGAGTTTACCCACAAGTTTCTAATACAATCTTACCGCCAGCCTATTTCTGGCAGTTGCAAGGAAGATGTATTTAGTTGTATTACATGTAGGTTTCAGTCTCCAAAGCGCCACTAATTTTTAAATGTCGAGAAAGGTGGTTCCTGGACGTATTTAGAGCATTGATGCGCACCCTTAAAGAATACCTGCGCGATTAATTAATTAATAGTGATTCTCACCTGAAGATCGTGTTTTCAGCTAGAGGGAGTTTACTGATTTTGTATGCGTTCAGTCGTCGTTCAAAGCACACAAAGCTAACATCCACGGAGCAGTTAGGACCCTCGAGTTTGCCATGAATGTCAAGGGAAAAAAAATTTGTCAACTGACGGAGAGTATTTGTTTGAGCTGAGTTGAGGACGGCGGTTCCTGTGCCGAGAGAGTACTGCTTTGTTTTTACGTCCTCGACGAGATCCAATACAGTGTTATTCGGATCACGCGCTTCTGCAAGACGACAAAACTGAAATCAAGCAGTTTGAAAAGTGTACGCTCCAATAGTTTGTCTTTTGTGCCAATTAGCTCGGTACAAAAAGTAACTGCATAAGCGTTTACTTGTTGATTCTCACAACGTAGGGCCGTTTTGACAAAGCGTTTATCGCAGCTGCATGGTAAAACGCAATTCAACGGCCATCATAAAAACATCTCTCTAATATTTAACACGTGTCTTCTGGATTTAGAAGGCTTTTGTATCGCCTATTTCACTGCTCGTAAACTGTAAAAATGTTTCGCAAATTCGATAGATTTACTTGCTATAATAATTTTAAAGATTTTTTGCAATGAAAACTTGCACGGGCTGAAAGTGGTGTAAAAATGCTGGGTATTAAACGGTCACCACTTACGCGACAGCTAGCGAGGAAATCCGCGGACCTTAGGGGACCTGGCTGGGGTTTTCCTCGCACGGCATTTACCTCGACCTCTAAACCCTCGGCCTCCGGCGAGCCGCATAGGAGCTCCCCCACTACGAAGAGGGCTTTCTTGTTATCCACGTACGTCTGGTAAGCAGCATTTAGGACACGCTCACGAATTCTCATCAATGGCTTTCTGAAACCAAACAAAAGGTATGCTATTTATAGAATTTTGATGGAAGCACCTTTGGAACTGAGACTGTGGAAGTGTGTAAATGGAGCACAGCCAAAATCGTTGGTGAATTATACGTAATATGTGCACAACTTATTTTGAACAAGACGAATATTCATTAGAAAAACAACAAAACTATAGTCTTTATTAGTAAAATCTTCAGCTACCAAAAATCAAATACTTTTTGGAGAGGATTCCCAACACAACTGGCGGCCTGTCGGAGGTAGCCTGGTGCTTCCAAAGAAAATGTCGCTGCATGTTTCCACAGCTGAAAACAAAGACAAACAAACGCAGCAACCATAAATATGAAGATCTCTGAGATTGTTGAAGTCTTTAAATAGGTGTCAAAACTCCCTAAACCTTTGTAGCCCTTTTCACATAGCTCCAATAAATTCAATCTAATAAATTTACACTTCAATCAATGCCTGTTTTCGTCTCGTCTAATATTGATAGAGCAACTCCTCGAAAACTCATCTGTTGCTTCAAGCAAATCCGTCACTAGTTAGCTATCAACCTGTCCTTTTGTTCGGCGTTCACATTGGTACCATTTAAAAACTCCTCTAAGTTAGCCAACTAATTCGAAGATTCTTTTCTCTATAGGAACAGACACTATCTTCTTATGCTCGTATAATCATCATTTAGGAGTGAAGAGTTACCCGCTGTTCGAAAATTTTAAATATTAGTCAAAACAAACTTCCTCTCCCATAGCTCGCGCGGTCAACTAGATCTGGCAGCGCCACTCTGTAATCTAATGGGTGAAAAAAATTTGATCCTTTCGTCGCGCTACTTGAACGGCTTTATTTAATGAAGCAAAAAATGTAGCTATCATATGAAAATAGAGAAACGAGATCAGTAGGGAATCATAAAGAATGGTTGAAAAAAAAAAGAACCTATCTGAATTTTTTAGTCTCATCCTCCTCACTTATTGAATCCTCAAAGAATAAGTAAAACTGAAAGTGAAGCTGTATATCCTGATATGTAATATGGTAAAACATAATAAGGAAATAAGCCTCTGATAGTTTTTGAGCTACGTGAAATCAGTGTTACTAGTACTTTTCGGCTATCATTAACTGTATTATTCCGCGTGTTGACGTTCTAAAGTGAGACGTTACAGGAAGAGGCACAGGTCTGCGGTACCATCGCTGCTTCGTAACGATACTAAGCACAGAAGAAACTTCAGCCATAGGAGTACGGATAAAGGCAACATCAATTTGTGTATCATAAGTTTCGATCGCAGAGTGTATTATTTGGTAACTGTCTATATAGCAAGTGCCAGCGGTACAAACTTAGTTTGCTTAAAATTATTGTCTCCTGCACATAGGCTTACACATCGCGTGTGGTTAGTCACTCATAAATCCGCTTACATTGAATTTTATGTGTCAGTTGTTTCAAAAATGTGTAATGAGTGAATACAGCTACGAAGATAAGGCAGCGGGTTAAATCACAACCCAGCCCAGCTTTCCTCAAACTAATCTGTATGCGGTGACGACAGTATTGCCACCCGCTGAAGTATTTTCAAATAAACAGTTGCAAATTTTTTAAGAACAACGGTCTAAGTTCCTGCTGTTACGTAAAAGTTCCACAGTCAGTGGTGAAACGGATACTGAATATAACCGGAGGCGCTCAACCCGCGGTTGTCTCATATCGTCGAGGTGGGTTTATTGGTATTACGTTTCATGCCAGTATGTCGGTGACGGATTTGGGAAGTGTAGTTGAGTTGATTAAGTGACAAGTAACAGAGACAGACCTATCGCGCTTCAAAAAGTTGTGAGGAACTTCCAGCAATGTGCCTCTATACAGGGCTAACCATGAGATGGACTAAATGTAGGTGTTCTAGAACGAAAAAGAGCCATTGCTTGAGATAAGTCTGAGAATCGAACACACACTCCTTTCACAGTGGGTGGTGATTCGACTCGAATGTGTGTGCGTATGTGTGTTGTGTGTGTTTTTCTCGTGCGCACGTGCACAAGGCTCGCTCCGCTTTCTCTTTCCTGCAGATGCGAAACCGCACGTTAAAGGAACGACAAAGGTTTTGGCCCTGTATATGTATTTTGTTGCGCTGACAGGGGTGAAGGCTTATAGTCTCGACTTGGATGTTGTGTCTATAAATATACTTTTTCTCTGTAACATTTACTATTGCTATGTGTAAGTTAGGTATAAAATTTTTTCGTCATTACCTGCGTTTTGCTGTGTCAGTGATGTGCATTATCTATATTTTGGATTTTTTTTCACAATTTTTTTAATGAATAAAATAAAATCGACTTAGCCAGTTGATTTACATAAAATTTACTTTTAAATAAATAAATAAATAACTTTTCACTACGAAGCACACTACAGCTACAACGTACTATATGCAATTGACTCGATCGTTAAATTTGCTTAAGTTGGAAATCATATTATTGTTAAGTTGTATCTTCCAGATATTTGTTTAGGTTTGCGTAAATTCTGCATACTCAGTATGTAAGTGGTGTTCATTACAAACGTGGAAGTTAATTAATTTATTTAATATGTGTGAACCCTATGAACACACTTAAGATAGGCGAATCTTGCGAAATTAACTTCTGAACTACGCGTCATTGATAAACGATTTAGCTGAATAATACTTTAGCCTTCTAGAAACTCATGAGTGGAAAGCAATTATATTTGGTGGAACCTTATCTGAGAAAATAAGTTTAGAAGAAAGAACATCTTTTAGTCTCAAAAATAAACTATTAGCATTCATGTTTTTCTCCGAAAGCCACAATGCTGCGGAATTTCATCGAAGATTGATGGAGGGATCACGCAAAGGAGCCTCAAGCGATAGCATAGTACGTGAACAATGCAATTGTTTCAAGAACAGAGATTGGAGTTGTAAGGACCTACGAGAAGGTGACCAGATGTCGGAACCTGAAAAGCAAAAATGCATTCGTGCAATGGAGGAGACTCTTCACAAGAGCGGAGCTTAAGGTCTAAGGGCTCTGTCGGCTAAAACTTGCATTTCACGTGTAACGTATTACAGAATTATAGCCGAAGATACTGAAAAAAACTGCGGAAACTGCATAAAGAATGGTCCCCTGTGAATTGACTCGAGGCCAGTTAGAAATCCATAAGGCGTATTCCACGTATAATTTACAAAATCTTAACGAAAAAAAATCCTGCCTGGAATTTACGGTCGTCGGAGACGAGGCATGATGCAAGCTCTACCGTAAGCCGGAAATAGTCTGTGTAAAACAATGACGCCGCCTTAGAGGAAAATCGAGTTCGGTGGCAGTGTCGTATAGGTTTGTACGTAATGTTGTGGACGTTAGGAATATCTATCATTATGAGATTCTTGCCAAAAGTGAAACAATGAGGTATCTCGAATTCTTTAGGCTACTTATGAATCGTTGGCACGACAATCGAGAGCACGCATTCTAGTTACTTGGTAACAATGCCAGACCTCATCGCCGTCCCCCAATTATTTTCTAGATTGAGCAAAAGAATATCCAATATTGTCTTCAATCCGCTTGTCCTTACGATCCAAATCCGTCCGATTATGGAGCCTTGCATGTCTTAAAAAGGTTAACTCGTGGGCAAGCATATCCGACTACCGACTTACTTCAAGAAGCCATAGATGAAAAAATTGCCTATAAGAACACGAAAACAGATATATGGGCATCCATAAGGTGCCACGACGCTGAGACGTGTATATAAAAAATAAAGAAGAGGCCACGATAGTGATGATAGAGCAATCTATTAATACAAATTTGAGAGCTATGCAGAGAATCTGTGGCAGAAATCGTATACACGGTACGCGAGTGAGCAAATTGTCTCGCTTGTATACATTGCCATCGCTAAAAGCGGAAAATCAGACCAGTTAGACCATTGATACGTTCGGGCAGAAAAACTGTTTTTTTCTATTTCATTTTCAATCAGGAGGGGTTATTCGAGGAGTAAAGGGAACGTTCGTTGATCCCACTTCGGCTTTTTTTTCTAAAGCTTCGGCGACAAAGCCGTTCTGACAAAGAGACTGCTATTTTATCATGCTGATGTTGCCGTTCATCGGCGCACAGTCGGCACCGTCTGATCTAAGCAGCAGCAGCAGCAGCGGCGGCGGCGGCGGCGGCATCACACAGCAAAGTAACAGCACGAGGGCGGAGAATAGCAGCATCGATGCGTGGAGTGGCATTGGCGGCGGCCTGTTCGCCCTTTGGTCGGTTGCCTGGTTAAACTAACACTCATTTTATCTTATTATAGCCGATTCGAAGCCACGGCCTGTGGCGTCCCATGGGGATGTACGCGCGATTTCTTTGTGTGAGGGTTTGGGTGCAGTTAGTCCATCGTTGTACTACGACTGCTATTTCGGAACAAATGTCCCTGAATTGATCAGTGGTTTCTTCGACAAGCTCAGTTCGCATACAATTCCTATGTGTGACAATGGAGACCATCAGTTTATTTTTGTATTGCTCAATGCAGAGAAAATCACGATGAGTCAAAGGAGTTTAAAGGACTTCTGACTCGCTGCTATCAATTGTAATTTTTTTCTTTTGTTTGAATCTTACCAGTGTTCGTGGTTACAGTAAGTCTATCTAAAAATTAGCTATGCACAGATTCATCGACCGAGCCCCCACATACCGACCTATGCACGCAGAGATACACACACGCATGTGTATGTGTACGGTTCGAACGAGTTGTCGACAATGTGCGTCTGAGATTATCTTTAAGGACCACTATTTTCAATAACTGGAACAACAATGTTCGATCATGTGTAAAAAAAATAGGCACGGTGTCCAGGCTTCACTGGTAACGCGACTGAAACTATAGGTATCTAAGATAGTATTTAAGGTTTTGCTTCAAGATGGTAAGATGCACTTCAACAAGCTTTCCCTATTTTTGGGTTCTCGAAATCAGCTTTTCCATCCGTTATACTTTTTCAGCTTATATGCTCTTATGTGGCAACGCAATTGAATCTTGGCATAGCTCAAGCCTTGCCTCATGTTTACATATGCAGTACGATCCTAAAAATTTTCCGGCTACCGGCGATACTATTCTATAGTTTTCATATTGTGCTTGGAGTTCACTAGAAAGATTAATAATATTCCGCAACATATTACTTTAGAATACATGTAATGACGGTATTAATTTAATGAAAAATATAACGTTTTAGTCGAGCCCTAGCAGCAGATTCGTATATTGTGTATTTGCCGTCACTCGTTACGACCTTCTGGTATCTCCCAACCACCTTATTCATTCAGTCTTTATAGAAATTTCAAGGTTTGATGTTGACGAACTCGCTGACACCGTTATCATCTTCAAATGTACTGTTAGGAATTAAATTCGTTAAAAAATGTGAGAAGTGGTAATCTTTCAACGCAGGTCTTAGGAGTATGATAAATAAATCCAGCTCTGAACAACCTTCGCTGTGTGTGGTCTGGCACTGTCGTGAGGCAGAATGACGCTCCCTTGCTTATCGGGTCTTTTCTGTTAGGCTACTTTGATCTGTGCCGATTTTTTAAAAATTTTTTTTCGAGCACTTCTTAGTATATAAGACCCTTGCAGTTCTATCACACGGAAATTATGCTATTTTCAGAAAGGAGACCTAATTGGACTCTGAGATTAGGCGTTGCTTTCGGAACTACCTATCGCTTTCTCCGCTTAATATTGACGTGAAGATTCTAATTTCTGTCACCGAAATTATATAATGAAGTCTGTCATTAGGGCTGCATAATGCCGACCATTTTTTTTTTCAATGTGCTTTTCACTCAACTTGCGAGAGCTAATTTTTAGGTAAATACCGTAGACTCAAAATGCATACAAAAGCCAGTACTATGGCTGCAGCCTGCTTTGTCAGCTCACGCCTTGATTACCAACTGCCCTTTATGAGGTTCTCGTACACGTCGACTACAAAAGGCGTGCCCTTGTCGCATGATGTTATGACTGAACGTCTTTGAGACGAGGAGTCCATATGTTGCAGGACACGAGTATCTCGGACTGCTCCGGCAGATTTTTCACGATGGCGGTGCGTAAAACAGAACAGATGTATTGTTTTTCACCAAACAGATTCACTCTTCGAGCCTTAACACGGGCACAATGAAATTACAACGAGTTTGTGGCCCGAACAAACACTTTAGAATAGTGTATAGAGCTAAACAAACAGTACGAGAGCTAAAAAAAGAATTTGCCAGAAACGGCAATTGGTTATCTCTTGCTTCTAATAGTATGATGTACTAAATTATATCATGTTGGCTAATATATATATATTTTCTCTGAAACCATACATCCACGTTCCTGCTTGCCCTGACTGTTCTGCTGTTAGTGATATGCCTGATAACAATACATGTTATAAAGAAAATCCTGTGGGGAAAGTCTTTTGGCCCGGGCATGCCAATCAATCTAATGGTTCTAAGAATTTTGTTATCATAAAAGCAATGCTGCAAGATACGTACATACTCTGTATAATATAATAATACAGCTGCTTCCTTTACCTGTTCAGATGAGTGGATGCACTTCAAAGTAATTGTCAGCCACAGAACTAACTGTTAACGCCTATCCTAGGTTTTTAATTGGAAAAAAAAAGATAGCGAAGTGCTCAGTGTCATAATTTACTGTTCGAGTCTATTATAGAAACATAATAGTTCTGTAAACCGGACTTTTATTGATAGTAATTGAAAAAAATATACGATACGTTTAGCCTGAATGTAACTGGATATGACAACGATCTTACGGAGGCGATTCTGGCTGGGTTGTCTAACCTCCGTCCCGATTCCATTATAGCTGTTAGGGTAGCTAACAATACCCCTGTATGCCTTAACGCTGCGGACGTGTCTTTATAATAATCTTGCAACTAAAACCTAATTCTGAATCTCTTATGCGGCATAATGTGAAGAACTTGAATGATCGGCTTACGGATTCGTAATCTGTGGCGTACACACTAGGCGACACGGGCTTGAAATGAAATTTGTCTGTAAACAATGGGTCATCAAGCTCAGATATGATGGTGTGTACCAAAAATTCTTGCGATCTCAAACGAATGAACCTTCTACTTAAATACATATTTATGATGTCTCACTCACTTGGGCTACGCGAATCTCTAGAAAGTTCACAGAAGATTGATACAAGGCCAAAAATGTACGTGTGCTTCATATAAAATAATGACGGTTGAACGATCAATGTCGTATCGTTGCGTTCGTTCCAACTATTCTATTGTATTTACGACGTACTTATAAATGGCGCATAATGGCCTAAATCATTAAATGTTTTTAGTAATGTTTTAATGTGTGCGAAGATGTGAGAAGTATGAAATGTAGGTGAAAGTTCATATGTGCTTATGCAGTGGCTGTCACGAGTGACACCAATCGAAGCTTCGATGGTCTACTTCGGTACGTGCTAACAAAGATTGAAGCACTTGAGTTTGTTCGTGTGAATTCTGAAGAGTCCTTTGGATACGAATAGATGGGATGTATAGGGTTAAACAAAACAATTTTTACCAAGATGATCGCGCTTGTCCAAATAGTGAGGTCGGTATCTTTAGCTAATTTTCATAATGCAACTACGGTAATCTCTTACATGAGTTATTCAGGGTGGTTTGAGATTACATGTCGGGGAAGCTTGACACATGCTTTCAGAAACGCAAACAACAAAGAAGAAACATCGGTCGCTGTCATGAGAACTAACATATCAATGCGCAGGTCCATAGGTGCCTTGGTAAATGCAAGGCCAATGGGTTGTGAGAGAGGCCGTTTATGGCGGTACTGAAAGGCTCGAAAATTGTGCTGTGAGTCCTTCAACTGTATGCTTATCACTAATCAATGCATCGAAAATGACGCGTTAACTAGCCAGTATTCGGTGGGCGGTGGAAATACGGGTGCTGCAGGAAGGATAGGAGGTCAATGGGTTCACCCTCAACAATGGTACACTAAGTGCGGGGGATCATGACGAATCCTTGTAAGATCAGCTAAGGCCTTCGTATTTCCAAGCAATCATTAGGGCGACCGTATACCGACCGTTGGTGAACTACTTTCCGGACAGAAGTATGTGGGGGCATGTAAGTGCGTAAGCAGCGGCTTGTAAACGAAGCCCACAACAATGCAACAACAGATCTTCAGGTCCGCTGCTGGATGAAGTGAGCGTTAATTTTATTAGGAAAGGGGAACAGCCGTGATTGCTATGTGTACCAAGACAACACGATGTTTGGGATGAAATATTATAATATTCACTTAACAATAAGGAAACTTTTACTTCCATGTCAGTATAAAACGAATCGAGATGCAGTACGTAGACGGTAGACGATAATGCTATATATATGTATACATATATATATATATGCGTAAATAAAACAGGACAGTACATCGAGGATTCAAACAGGCCAAATGACGATGATGACGACGACGACACTCCGTAAATACGTCAGGTGGTATCTTCTACCCACTGAAATTCTTTTAACATATTTTCTGTTGACATTCGACTCGTGATTCAAGTCGTGGGTGGCGATGAGTCGGGCTTTTGTTGCAGAGAATTCATGTTTCCGCATACAGCCAGTTGAATAAACGTCCCTTAGATATTTTAAGTCTAAATTACACGCGTGAGAGATCTAAATAGTATTCACATTTATGATAGTCTTTAAGAACGCTTTTAGCCATAGTTGAAACAGTAATAGTAGCTAAAATGGAAATATAATTCATCCATTCAAGGAGTCGGCAAATATTTAGTTTGCACACATATATACGTACCTATTTGGTGCATATATATACACATATATGCACATATCTTTAACACACACATATCTATAAACGTCGAAAAAGTTGACGTTTTTAACCCAAACCGAAAATTTTAAAATGCTATTACCAAAGTAAATACCCATCGTTTTGATCCATCCATCACTGTAGAACCTCCGTAGTTTCTAGACGAAAAATTACATTCAGTGATTTTTGTAACGCCATCAAGGAAGTTTCTATGAAATCGAAATAGAAGATTTGGACTATACAGGAAATGTATTAAATTTATTGTTGAAATTCTTTCAATTTGTTGTTGAATAGTTGTAAATTATGTGTCTGGTCGAAGCATTGTCCCGGTAAAAAAAACAACTGCTCAGTAGCTCTAGTCGTTTTTTTTCAATCGCTTCTTACAACATTGTTAGTTGAGCAACTTATATCGCATGATACCTTTCCAGTTCCAGCAAAAACATAACATCAACTCAATTTGTACGATCGAACAAATTCGTGTAGTACTCAAACATCGAGCTTTTAGTAGCCGGCCTTTTCAAAGCTGGTTGATGGAGGATGTTTCGTTCGCTAGCGATATCATAGTTACTCACGTGTCCATCTTGCTCAACCTTCGCAATAATATATAATTTATAGTTTGTCGATTATTGCAAAGGACATCTTTCGCATTGAAGTTTCCGGAACGACAGCAACATTACTAACTTCAGGCCGTTTACTCACTCAACTTATAAGACCAAAGACCTATGACTTTGCAGCCATCTGGCTACAACACTTCTTCGGAAACACAATATATATATATATATTACCCATGAAGGATCTGCTAGTTATCATACTTAGCATATGAACAAATCAAGTTTTTCACGGAATACAAAAAATATTGTGTAAAAAAATGTGTTTAAATAAATCAAAAAGAAAAACCACGAAGGGCAGCATAGTGCCACGGTTTTAGTCTGTTACGCACCGATTCAAATGCTAAAAACTCGGAAGTTGTTTTTAATATTTTCTATAAATTTAGATCGGTTATTAAGTTTGTTGTTGACCGGTTAATTTTATCCAGAAATCTTACAAGGAGATTTTTCGTGTTTACTGCTAACAGATAGCTTTAATCTAATTTCATTTTCATGTTGTCTGAATTCTAGGTGGCGCGATGCCGTTCGGGCTGCTGAAGCTCAAAAAATCTAGGAACTACTCGGTGGTGTCTAAATCGCTATGTGTGATCATCGTCAAACTGCTTGAGAATGGAACGGTTGAATGCATACTGAGTTCGCGAACCATCGGACACGAGTGTCTCGACAATGTATGTCAGCGACTGCAAATTGCCCAAACTGAATATTTCGGTCTGCGATACGCCACCAAAGATGGCAGTCAACGCTGGGTCGATCTGGATAGGCCACTTAAGAAACAACTAGATAAATACGCGCAAGAGTTTTCACTGACACTTGGCATTATGTTTTATGTGTTCAACGTCGACCATTTGTCCGATGAACCCACGAGATATTACTACTTTTCCCACCTCAAAAGTGACATTCTTGAAGGCCGTCTGCGTTGTAACCGCGAAGAGGCGGTGCAACTAGCCTCATTTAGCCTACAAGCGGAATTTGGTGACCATCGACCTGAACACCATACGCCCGAATATCTCAAGAACTTTGTTCTAGTTCCGAAATACCTCACCGGGGTAGCAGGTGGCAATCAAGGAGATCAACTGCTTGAGGAGATTATTAAAGCGCACCAGAGTCTTCATGGCACCCCGCATGCGGTTGCCGAACTGTACTATTTAATGGCGGTACAGCGGCTGGAAGGTTATGGAGAGGAATTGTTTAACGTAAAGGATCAGATTGGCCAGGATGTTACGTTAGGCGTATCTGCATTGGGTGTGACGGTTCGCTACCCATCTCGAATACAGCACGAACAGTCAATGGCGTATCAGTGGTCAGAAATAGTGGACCTTATCCATCACAAAAAGTTCTTCAAGGTCGAAGGCCGAGACACGAACTGCTGTGCGCAATTCCAGTTGGATGATGTAATTACGGCTAAGTATATTTGGAAACAGTGTGTACAGCAACACAAGTTCTATATGCAAATGAAGCAACTAGAAGCAGATAGTAATGGCAATGCAGCTGGGCCCTTTGTCGCCATTGCAGGTGGCAGCAGCAGCAGAGATAAAGAGGTTATCAAGAACCAGCACGCGATTAACGAGGGTCCCATGCGGTCACCACTTGTTGTTAACAATAACAACAACAATACGAACAACAACGCCCATAGTTTGGGTAGTTTAGATGATTTAGACAGCGGCGTCTACAACACGGAGACGCAAACAAGTCACATTGGACAACAGCAACAGATAACTGGTGGGGGGCTGCAGGTGGCTCCGCCTAACTCAACTCCTTGCGTGTCGACAGCTGGTAGCGGTCCACGCCACGTGACCCAAATGATTGTCACACAATTGATGGTGGCCAAAGAGGAGCCTGATTATGAAAATGTTTCCATGCTGTTGGCAAATTCAGAGGAAGTTCGTAGGGCTCTTTTGCCAGATTATCGTAAAGCACCGGACTACGAACAGGCAATTCGAATGAAGTACCAAATTTCCGCAAGCCTTAACGACCTCTCATACGGCAGCTCTGCTCACAGATGTCACCACAGTACGCAGGGTCATCAGCATAATCATCACAACCGACTCTACGGAAATTATGCAAGTTCTATTCCTAGCTCAAACATCGATATTAGCCCTACATCAAAATCTTACAATCCACTAATGCCTCTCAATTCATATTCGCAGTACGGCCAATATAGCACCGACCTGCAGGCCATAGGTAATTCGTCTCAAGAGCTTGTGGGCGTGTATTCACGACAAATTTCTAAAACAACCTCAAATCTACCTTATCAAACTGCGATGCATACACAGTATAACAGTACACCAGAACTTAACATTAACCTTGATCGTAGACAAAGCGCTGTCTTGCCGGGAGCTCGAGATCTGTACCCGATAGAAGCGCGAGTTGCTATCACAACATCGACTGGTCGAGGCACTAGCACATCGGTTCCCGATCTAACTCAGTCGCTAAATAGCTGCCATTCGTCATTTGTCCAGATTCAAACGGCACCAGACGTGATTGGGCAATCGCAGTTGCAGCATGCTGATCTGTCAAGATCGCGACTTTCGTCCGATAGTTCTTCGACACATACTTCAGCTACACACACCCCGCTCCAGTCTGCATCTAGGTATACTAGTAATAGTAATGGCGGTTCCAGTAACACCCCAAATAACAATAACCCCACTTGTAATAATAGCAAGCCATCAACAACGGCCACTGTTGTTACTGTTAATAACCAGAAGGTGGCCTATCAGTCCTATAATAGTGAGACTTCGGCGAAAGAGGCCAACATTACCAAGGTGCAGGTCACGTCTACGCATTATAGCTCGGATCGAACAGCATTAGCAGCGGTTTCTCCCACTGTCGCCACTAGTACTGCTAACAGCACTAGCGCCACTGTTACTCCTTCCCTAGCGGAATCCCATTCACGGTCCTCGAATGTCCTAGCAGGGCCAATGCTGCTAGCAGCGATGAACGGCCTTGCGGGCCCCAGTGTGAAACCCGATATTTTAGAAAACGTACACGACAGCGTAATGGTTGAGAAAATGATGGATGAACCACCAAAAGACTCGCGGATACAGGACCTCGAGACGAAGTTAGCTGGTGGCCACGTTTTCCAGGAGTTTGAACAGATAGTCAAAAAGAAACCAATGGCGAACTTTGCTACGGCAATGTTAGCCGAGAACATGCCTCGCAATCGCTTCAAAGATGTTCTACCGTACGAGGAGAACCGGGTGCGACTCGGCCCATCAAAAGATAACCGTACTGGCTATATCAATGCATCACATGTCTCCGTGAGTATTGGCGAAATGCATCGATTTTATATCGCTGCACAGGGTCCCATGGCCAACACATGCTTTCACTTTTGGCAAATGATTTGGGAGAATAACACGGCGATTATAGTTATGTTAACCGATGTAGTTGAGGGTGGCAAGGAGAAATGTCATCCGTACTGGCCTCAGGCGGATGATTCGCGGGTAACGTTCAAGGACTTCGTGGTCACACGCAAGACAACCTATGTGTCTTCGACATTTACAACGTGTGCCCTGCAAGTGCAGTACCTGCCGACACGAGTGACACGGACCGTGTACCATCTTCAATACACGGACTGGCCTGATCACGGCTGCCCATTGGATATCCACGGCTTTCTATCGTTTATGGAGGAAATCGAAAGTGTTCGTCGGCTGGTATTATCTGAACAGAACCTAGCTCAGAATCGGGCGGTCCGCAATGCCCCCGTGGTAATGCACTGCACTGCCGGCGTTGGCCGCTCCGGCGTTGTCATACTATGCGACCTTCTTCTTTTTTGTCTCGACCATAATCACCCTATCGACGTTCCGCAGGCACTTACCTATATTCGCTATCAGAGAATGCTTTCGGTGCAAACCCTTGCGCAATACAAATTCGTTTACCAGGTGTTAATACAATACCTCAAGAACTCAAGGTTAATCTAGGTTTTGCTTTTCGCGCGTACACGGATTGCTTGCGTCAGCGGAAATGGTTCGATTGTTCACAGAGAAGATTAACATAGTGTGAGAATATAGAAATGGGAATTTCATAAAATGCATCCTTGTTGTACGGAACGGCATTATAGCTTGATATGACTTGACCTTAAAGGTTTAGGTCACCGACTATTTAAGTAATTTAACGTATGGCATATGTGTGTGTAGCAATTGGAGTTTACCTGTCTAATCTAGTCTCATATTATCAGTAAGGTGCTAGCAGAAGTTAAACGTTCCTACAATTAATCATATCCAGCGTGAGCATGTGAGTATTATCTGTTTACGAAAAGGTGCCTATCGGATATATACATGTATTTGTATTAAACACGCCCCGATCCGGATTAAAATTGTCCCAACACGATAGTTTCAATAGTCACACGAGAGGGTAGTTTGACTACTTGACTCGCTCTTTAGAAAAAATTGATCAGAGGTCTGAGTGGCCGAAATGAACAAATATTTATTTGTTTACCAATTTTTCGACTTCGTATAGACGATGGATGCAACCATCATTGAGCAGCTATATTTTACGCTGCTAAATATCTAATAATTTTAGCAATGATATTATAAACATTAAGTTATTTGAAATAATTGTAACGGAGTGTGGCGTTACTAGTCTTGCCGGGGAGCGTTTTTACCGGATGAAGCGATGGCTGTTGTATGTAGATGTGTTATTTTGCATCTAATAGTTTAATGAGCAAATTTGCAAGAGACAAAAAAAAACCAATCGGAATTTTCCTCGGCACTAGAGACCGTAGTGTAGGTAACTGTTCAAGCAAGTTTCCATAGACCCGACGATCTTTTCAGTCTCATTCATATGCCCTTACGAGGCTTTTAAATAAAGACGGCCATTACGGGTTTCGTAAATAGAAGCGTTTCAGTCCAAGCTCAGAAGATAGGTATAGCACTGAAAGCTGAAGCACGTGAGAAACTATATAAACTCTTACCTTGATTTATCACTGAATGTTTACAAAGTGCGACTTAGGCAAAAGGGTGACGGATTGAGCAGTCGTTAGTTATTAAGCAAATTAAGTTGCTCGTTAAACATGCAGCGAAAGGTACTCGATGGCTGAAGGTCGACCAGTGTTTCGTGCGGCGAAAATATGTTTTTTACATGCCAGTGACGGAATCTAATTTTGTTGCTGTACATTCAGATTATTCGTTGAAACTTTTTTTGTAAACGACTTGTTGAGCTTTCTCTTGTAGTAGTTCGACTTCTTGCGGTAAAAAACAATATGCAATGTATACATGTTAATATCTCCCTGTATAATATATTATACACTTCCTAAACAAAGACAATTTGATAGCAAATGTAACAACTTGGAAAACTTGTGAGTAACGTAAACGCGTTCGGTGAATGATATCACAGGCCTTTTACGCTCGCTTCCTTTGTGATTTGACATTGAACAACTTAAAATTGCCGCAATGTAGCCCGGTAAAGGTTACATTTATTTTAAAAAGAAATTAGTTGAAGGTAGCTATGTATCAATACACAAAACACAATACAACCTTGGTAGAATTATAATAAAAGTTCAAAGATTATTTTTTTGTGAAATATACGCGACACTGTTTTTATTTCTATGATGAATGGCTATGTACAAATGGACATTTGTAATGTGTGGACCGAAACAACAAGACCGGCATTATTTCTCACCCATTTGTTTTAGGTGTAAGTGAGACTCCGATCACTAATCAAACTACGCTCCTCTGAAGTCCCGGCAGCGAAGTAGATACAGTTTTATGCGTGATCCTGTTTATTTAACTCTGAATCCCTCGCCGCTTTGGTGTTCACGTTAGACAGATAGTTTTTCGTTGTTGATAGCCCTGTTAATCGATTTTGCAACAAAAACGTTTTTTTATTCAGCGTCATTTTCAACAAACGGAGTTTCGTTTCTGACGAAGGACAAATCGACAAGTAATTGGTAATCATTGATGATGGATACAAGTAGACACAATCAGATTTTGATGTTACAATCGACAGAGTAAGGCATGCTTCTTGATTATCTGAAAAATGTCAGCCGACCTAAAAAGGAATATCTTGTAATGAGGTATATATGTATGTTTTGGTTTGTATAATAGTCGCTCCAGGTAAGATACTGATAGTCATTGTTTACCGGAATAGCCATTTTTTTTTTATAACGTTGATATGTTTATGATATGGTATAAAGTTTACAATTTCGGAAAGTAACACCCGGAATGGTCTCTATAGCGAATTTTGTGACCTTGGAGTGCCTCAGGAATGAAATACTGCTACATAATAACCGCATTTTCAGCAATTGCATTGTTTTACTCGAACTATCGTTCCGTAAAATACATCAAGAAAGCTTCCCTCGGAAAATCTTCGCAGCGTAACTGAAATCAAGGCTTCAATTAGGATTGAGAAATAGTGTTTTACGAAACCAACAGGGATCAACCGCTCGGATCGACATATTAAATGTAACATTGACCTCTAGCCCTGTTTGTAGGGATACAAATCACACGATAATGAACATAAGATTGGTAGTGTGTTAATAATATTTTATAACTACCTAATTCTATTATTTATTTAGGTATGCTCCAGCGTCTGAGTCTGCTTTGGTACGTCAGATGCTCCATATATACTATCATCTGGAATAGGAAAATGTGCATAGCTTTTACTGATAATATTGAAAGGCTACACATTACTGTCAGTTATGTTATGTTAGCATGTTACTTGTTTTTAGGAAACCCTTTTGAACGGACGTTCTCGTCGCTATATATAGGCTGGGACAGTTGACGCATATTCGACTGTTTTAAAATGGATTCCATAAACCAAACCTGCTTTATTTGTCAGCCAAAAATGGGGGGCATTTGGTGGCCAACTGCGAGCCTGGTTCAGAAACTCAAGGCAAACGAGCCACAAAACTGAAAAATGTCTAATTTAATTTAATGCACAGATCATTACTTATCAATCAAACATACGTTAACTGCTTCTCCGGTGAAGAATCCATGACCGTATTACAAGTTTTCGACGGCAGAACGATCTTCACTGTGTCGTTCGTGGCGAATATATATCAAAACATACGACAATAGATCGTATGTTTTTATCCATAATATTGATCACAAACGTCTTTATAGATATTATTAAATGCTCACGGGATTTGCATTTTCCGGTTGGGCGATTGGAACGTCCCGTTTTCGGATTGAATAGGTCAAACTGTGTCAACGTTAATAAACCAACATAAGTTGTGTTGATATATTGAAAATAGCTGCCAAAGAGCTTGTCTTACCTCTATATCATCCATCTATTTGATGCACCAGCTGTACGCCAGTTCCACTTCTTTGTCTATTGGTACAAATATCCCTCTGTAGAAACCTTGTTAAGATATCGAATGTATCAACCTTTAAGGACTATTTACCTTTTCCTCTTCATCAACTGATGACGTATTATGATCATTTAACGGCTATGAAAAGATTCGTTTCATTTCTCAGGCGGTTCCAGGAATGAAACCGCAAACTTAATTAGCAGTGTGTGTTATCCCAAATTATTAATGTTGTTTTGGAGACAAACGAGTACACCATAACGGTAATGTTCTTAGTAATTGCACGTAAGTGCTTCTTTGACCAATAGTAGCATGCAGGTGGTGGCCGACAATACAGTTATTACTTGTCCGTGCGAGAAGTTGCCTGTAGGCGCGGAGTTTTGGTAACGGTCTGGATGTCGAGATTTTGACAATCTGCGTCCATTCTTAATAATAGTTTTCGCTTTCCGATAAATGGGCTTTGTTGTTGTTGTCGTCGTGGTTGTGGTAGAAAACCCGTAAAGTTCAGCGATGTCACTACAGCAAAAAATACAGATAGAGAGTTACTGGCGCTATAGTTATCCGAACCGAGCTTGCTGTTAAGCGAAAAAAAGTTTTGACGTTTATTTAGCTGAATTTTCTATTTCTTATTTAGGGCAAAGTATTACATAGTCAAAACATCTAGCTTCTGCTGCTGTTTTATACTTCATTTACCCAAGTATGTGTGGTGGTAAATTGTTTATGTAAGTTGTTAAATATGATCAGTTTGTAGTTCTTCGACTATTCGCACTCAAAACGGATCAGTTAGATTACCACTGTATCAGCTAAGCAGACAAAAAAAAAAGCCCGACAATAGTAATCGGAATTTTCTAAGCCGCCATTTTTATGGACAGGTATTATGTACAATTCTAAATACATTCGTTCCAAAAAAAGAGGTGAAACAAAAACAGGCAACTTGACTGCTTACTCTATAATTAAAATACGCTCCTTTCAGTGCGCTTCTTTGACACATCTACTTAACGATACGATACAAATAACAAGGAATCTAAATTATCTCGTTTAAAATCATATGAGATTTAGTACATGCTTACCTTGAGATAAGATAAGGAGCCCAGAGGTGACACAGTTTCGAAACAGGGCCTTCAGTGACCGAGATGGTTTTGGGAGTGAGATTCACAACAGACGGACTCGTTTCCGAATACTTAGGCCATAAATCAGTTTTTCCAGGAAGGGTGGGTTTGCTGAAATAGCAAGGATGTTACAGGGAAGGGTTGCCTATAACAACCAATTAAATTTTCCGGATTGCATACACATTGAAATCATAATCATTAATCAACCTGACATAAGCCCTGACATGATAAGGTGAAGCAACATACTTTATATTGTATTTTCGTCATTTCTAGGGTTCAGTGACGGATTATATTTAGGTGTAGGAAAGAAAGGAGATATTGATTCAAAAACAAGAAGAATGCCGCTTGGTCAAGCCAAAATACCCTATAAATTGTGTCATTTATACTCTGTCAATTATTTCACCAGCTCTACACTAATGGCAGATTATGATGTACCCGTTTATCATGAATTCCTTGACAGAACGGAGGATATCCTTGGCTAACTTCCTGTCCTCGTCGGTATAATTATCTAAGGTCATTTGCAGTGCTGCCGGAGTTCTTGGATCCCAAGGACGTTTTACATCCTGAAAATATACAACACCGAACTCTAAGTAATTAAGGAAAAAACAAATTCTTTTTGAATGTCCGCGCTACGTCGAATTGTCTAACGCAGAGTTGATACACATATTGTGTATGCAAAAAATTTATGAGACCTTGAAAAACATACTGGTCATGATAGAATTAAGATCGGCACAGCCGTCGAAGCTTAATTTGGTCAAAAGTTAATGATTAAAGACTAAGGTAAAAAAAGGAATACTCTAAATAGATTAAAAGAAAAACGCAAGAAATTAAAACCTGTACGTCCTCAGGAAGTAACATATGATTTAGTATTTTGTTACTTTGCTAATAAATATGCCATGAGACGTGTTTACGATATGAAAAATAGCACGGGTCTATGTTTTATTTTGTGTATACTCGGTTCGATGAAAATTATATTTGGTGTTATCAATCTCGCAACATCGGTCTAGTCGGGCGTACACTAACTAATGTTTGTTATTTGGAAAAAAAAATCTAAAATTATCCACGTAGCAACCTACCCCGGGAACTTTGATGGACAAACGGTGCTGCACCCGTTGTCTACCAAGGACGCCCAGTCACGTACTGGTATCAATGATATTTTCGAAAGAAAATAGTTGTTATTTCTGCTATTGCAGAACCATTGGTTAAGCTCCAGATATAAGGGCGTGTCAAGCCTGTACACTCCTTTCGGAATCCCAAAGGCATTAATCTATTCCGACGATTAACATATTTTCTCCGTGGAGGAGTAAGGCTGGGTTCTCCCATTCGTATGCAAGCGCAATAGCTATTATAACATTGTAGAACAAAATAGTCCCCATAGAATCTCAGACAGTCTAACGTAAATGCGCAGGCGGATGATTGCTGGAATAACTGGGCAGCGACAAAACGTTGATGAAATCATTACGGTTATTCTAGCATGAACTGAACAAACGGAGGCGTAACAATGGACAATGGAAAACAGAGGAGGTTAGAAATAAGTCAGCCCTGTATAGCGAAATTTAACACCAACCTTAGCACCAAAGCTATTGAATACGGCCCACTAGACACCTGCGTATCACTAGACCTCTGCGCAAGGAGAAATCGGTTACAGAGGAAGGGAGAGGAACCGAGCGAACAGTCCAAAGGTAAGCCAGGATCAAAAACAACCAAGGCCAATAGGGATAGAAGCCAACAATAACGCTTAAGCGTGCTATAGAACAGAATTACAGGATCAACCCTGGTTATCGAGATGATTTTCGAGTAAGTTAAAACAAGAGAAGTGCAACTATTACGTTTCTGAAAAGTGTTAAGACACAAATTGACGCGAAAAATTATAGGGCGTGATAAATCAGCATTAAAGGTCTAAACAAAGCAGGAAGCAATTAAGTATGCAGTATCCATAGGACCTCAAGCTAAACGGCAAGGATACTATCACAACGGCAAATGAAGGCGACAGCTATTCTGAGACAACACCTAGAGGATTTTCTATAAGCTAACCGTGGGCCGAGCATAAGATTTAACCTATTTAACATAAGGTTTCATCTCCATACCTGTATTAATACCAAAAGTTTCGCCAGTTGGAAAGAAACTATAAAATGGCAAAGACAGCGCGGACAAGGATATCATAGGAGTGCAATATTGGGCAATAGGGTCAAATGCTGCACTCGGAAAATCGAACTGCGAAAAATTTCAAACACCGAAAAAGCCAAGTCTTTTAGCTAACTTCTTGAAATATCTCTATATTCAAAAAATGGGTTCGGGAAGAGAGAGGCAGAGTCAGTTTATAGTGTAGCCAACAAATAGCGGAAAGAATGACAATGAATTTGCACAGTATAATAGGATAGAAGTAGAAATGATAAAGTTAAACAATGGGCTCTTTAAAAAGATAATTCACGACAATAATGGAACATCTCAATAATTCAGGTTGGTACAGATTAGCTTGTGTTGATTACGGAAGGCCTACAACGCACTGGAACTAAAGCGCAGAGAGCTGAATTATAGACGCCAATTATCAGAAGGCCAAACAAAAGGTTTCCTACCTGCAACCATCTTTCAATTGCTTCAGTGAAAAAAATTACAATAAAATCATTTAGGTCGGGTCTGAACTTCTTCTTGTAAAGGCACAAGGCGCGAAAAGGGGATAAACTTATTATAGACAGAAGTCGAACAAGGGCCTGTGACGTTTAGCTGCTACAATTAGCCAAATACAAGCATAAACAACAAGAGAGGGAAAGAGAGAGGAGAGAGAGAGAGACGAAAACATATGCGAGGGAAGAAGAATAAGTAGCTAAACGGAGAAAAGAATAATGGATTAGGATTTCGATGCGGCAAGACTGTACAGGGACAACAAGGATACTGGACTTAGAGTTAAAAAGGTAACTAGCTTAGCAGGGTGTGATCATTTTAGGCGTGGGCCACTCACCCACGTTCGAGAGGGGTGACTTCATCTTTCACCTAAGTCATGCAGTCAGAAAAGACCTTCTTTCGCCAGTCTTAGTGCCATAGCCATTATACTAGCTCAGATTATATATTGATCGCACTGTTTCATTCATTTTCTATACTTGCTAACGGTGCCTTTTGTTCTTTTTTCTATTTCAGCCAGAAAATGCAGCAAGCGTCGTTACCAAAAGACAATTAATTCTTCTATAAAGCGTACGCTGCCCTGCCATCAATGAAATTCGCAGCAGCAGCAACAACAACAGCAGCGTAATTTTTTTTGCTTAGTTATTTCCGTTTGAAACCTTTTTTTATTCAATATTATACATATAATATAAGAAGTTCTATTTAATATTATAATGTTCAATGAATCCTCGCAACTTACGTATCATGCAAGTCACAAATCAAAAAGGCATTTATGTTAGTTTACAGCACCAGCATTTAAATACGGTTCGATCACCGGTTGTAGTTTGTTGCTTTTTTACGCAAGGGTCCTTGCGTGGTGGGATTTTCATATGATACGATTGTTTTTAAATTCAAACAGTAGTCAATATGGATTTTGTATATTAAAGCAATGGAAACAATACATTCAAACATTATCAATAACAACTTATACATCTAAACTGATGTGCGATTAAATACGAATTTCTTCTAGTCGGCCAAAACAATGTTTCGTGGCCATCAGGGTAAACAGAAAAATAAAAAAAGTAGGGCCAGGAGCTTTCCTTTGACCAGTAGACTCTGCGTAATCGGGTCGAGCAATGATCTGCTTGTTCCAATCCATGCGATGTTGCTTCAATGATATACTATACCACTCGAATTCCAACCACGGTTAAATTTTTGTTTTTTTTTTTGTTTAATGTATTGGCACGAAAAAAAATCAGTCTTTCATTCAGAAACTATATTTCAGCCTCAAGAGTAGGAGGAACTATATCTTCGTGGAAGAACACATTTTATTAGGTATCCGTTCGTCTCGTTGCAAGTGTGCTTGCGAACCTCACCTTATTGAGTGCGATTCCGAGGAAAAACATTACATCATCGGTATGAGTGGCGGGTCCGGCCCCCATCGCATCAACAAACACCTGAAGAACGCAAAACGAAGAGGATATACGAAAGATTTTCTCGCCGCGAAATAATCTCTAATACAGTCTCATGAGGGGAAAAAGCTAGACAAAGGGACGTGAAAGCTTTTTTGAAGCATCTTAATAAAAAATAACTTGCTTGGTTTTTTAGCATCGTACAAAAGGCACAAAACAGAGTAGCTTACTCCGGTATCCGTGCCCCCTGTGAGGTGATAAACACTTGATTGAACAATTGATGGGTGATGAATTTGACCTGTATCTTTCTTGTGAAAATACAAGGTGGTAAAGCTTAGAGGTATCGACGCTTGTAGTTACTAAATAAAATCAGGACAGAAAAATTGATCTAGTTTTTGATTTCACCTTTGCGCGAGGCTCTTTGAGGACGTAGCGGTAGATGTTAGTTTTTTTGCCATTTACTTTTTCCACGGAGTTCATATAGAATTTGGCCGGGCAATCAAACGAAACATCGGTGAACATTCGTGGAGCCTAAGGGATACAACAAATATAAAGGAACACAAAAACAAAAATATTATCAGCGCCATAATAAAAGAAGACTTGTGCAATAAAGGAGTATGTTAACTGATCAGTCATGCATGGATGAATGCATAATCTAAAACTGAGATGTGGGTGCGCGTTATTGTTGATGAGCTCTCTAACTTCATTGTTGCTGTCTTGAAATCTGTCAGAGTCAATAGGCTGTTTTCAAAGGGGAACTAAGTTTGATTTTGTACGAATCAGCGCTAGTAAATAATATACCAATAAATACACAAACAAAGTACCAAACTGATAGGCATCTTCGGGCGCAAATCTAAAAGGCATTAACTAAAACAATCTTCATGTGATAAATATTCGTATGTTTTGAAAACAGACTAAACAAGATGATCGGTCTCATCTGTGCAGGTACTTGAATAGGGTCATCCGAGAAATTCCGCTCGATTGACGACGCCGCAGAATCGCCTCGCGTGGTCGAAGGACGACGCTTTACGGGAGCCCAATTGATCAACGATTTGTGTTTATTTAGTGGCACGCAAATATTACAATATTTAGGGGATTGCAAATAACCTTGAAGCTGACGTGGTCAACGATGTAGTTTGTCATCTTTGTTACACTCATTAGATACTAACAGTAAGAGACTGCTTCTAAATTCTAAAGATCTAAAGTCAGTTTATTTCCTTAACTATCCGTGATGCATTTTCGTTGGTAAAAAAAGATGTTTGGTAGAAAGGCACTAAGCAAATCGATGTACCCCAAGGCCTTATGCTAATTTCAAAGCGATCTTTTACTAACGCTCTCCACCGTTCCTCCGTAATATGTCCTGTTCGTCTGAGCGTCGATGTTCGCTCGTTTGCGTCCGCATGCTTTTACGCGTCACGCAATCGATTCAGGAACTTCGACGATGCAGAAGACCTAACAGAACGTATGTAGTTTATCGCAGTAATTCGATGTACCATTATTGTTTATCTAGTTTGAAATTTTCTGAACTCTTACGTAAATATTCTAATATAGTACGAATGTTTAGTTTATCTTTTTTAAATAATCAAATGCCGCACCGCGGTAGGATTAACGCCTATAAGCCATAAATATAATAGCGAAAAGTATATCTTTTGCACGTATGTATGTATGTATTTTGGTACTTGAGAAGTTCGTGAATTCTGCCTTCAATTTTAGCAAATCGATAATTCGTACGATCGCCACGAAGTAAACCATACGTGTTACGAGGGATCAATGTAGTAGTCTGTGAAGGATTCTACCTGCTTTACTATTCTGTTCAAATAGCTCCTGTTGTTTGCATACGAAAAGTAATTTTCGCCGGATCTGCAATTGTCAAATGTCTAATAGCAATGGCAATAGCAATAGCACTTTAAAATAACACGACAAGATAGATGCGGATGACCTCTAATATTATATGAAATCCTACGAATTTCGCTACGTAGAGCTTTTTCGGAAGCAAAACGCCAAACGGTGAATTTATCGAATCTAGGTTTTAGGAACAGCTTTTTTTTTTTTTACCGCGCTATTAATGGTCGCATAACAGCGAATTGTCTGATCTTCTATTTACCTATTTGATTTGTATGAGTGTTCTGTTAGAATATTTGCGATGGGTAGGAAGGACAGATCTGTAGCATTATATCTTGTTCATTTGATGTAGGGCAATTACGTGGAGGGTTAGTTTGGAAAGATCATATCATGGGCTTACTACGAAGTTTTCACATCAACGATCCTCTATAGCGAATAATTTTCTAACAATTAGTTTTAATGCGACTTAGGGCTTCTCCGCTAATTTGAGCCTGCAATCATGCCTTGAACTATTGAACCAATGCCCGGTAGCGGAATTCAACATCCTGCAACCTACGTAATAATTCGCTATTTTGTAAAAATCCGGTAAGTTAACTGAAGCAATCTAAAGATTACCTAAACTGTAGTAACACGGGTCGTAGCGGATAAACGCCGTAGTAGCATTAAATATAACAACCAATGATGGCAGGCGGCAAAAAAACGTGGAAAAGATTGACGTGATTTAAATGTCGTCGTCCCTGTTAAGCGTCTTCTATGCGTATGCTTCCTTTGTGTACTGAATGACGTCTAAAAATATGCCAGAATACAAAGAATGCTTTCGCTCCTTCAAAAAAAAAACAGAAAATCCTGCTATTTTTCCTTAAAGGGTAGGGGGATCTCTAATTCAAATTTGAAGTGGTGACATTGAAACCCGCCTTTCTGCCGGCCAGCTGTAGTGTTAACCTGCATGTAAACGAGGAAAACGTTAAAGCCAGCTCAATGTTTTGCGCTGTCTATCAAAGTCGATAACAATTTCCAAAATACAAGGTCGGAGTCTAGACATATCTAAACAAGGAAAATCTTGATGTAGCTTTTTCAAATAAGAGAATAATATCTCTGTTTCATTGTCCAACCATTTTCACTTCTATTTTATTATACAAATGACCCCTCAGAGGCGAAACTGATGTATATAAAATAAAAAAAGCACACGTTCAAATATTGAGCTATTATTATAAGCTTAAATTTTCTCATTCAATTATACCTGTTTCAAGTTATTTAAGTAATTAATCAGTTAATGCATCTTTAGATAAGTTGATTCGTCGTAGGGTCATTTCTAGCTATAGATAATAACAATTTGACCTGGACATTTGACCGATTGAGATAATATTTATGAATACATATCTCATTGTGCCAACACGGACGGTGTTATGTACAAATTATCTTAAACATTGCTATGAGAAAAAATGTATCGTAAAAATCCATGCACTTATTATACAAGCCCAATCCGAAAATGGCCCATTCATACCAGTTATGATGTATGTACTTTTTTTTTTTTTACTGACGTTTAAGCACGTCTCGTCACAGATTTTCAACCCACTTCCGCGTGTGGTGAAATTGATAACCTCACTAGAATCTCGTACAGAAAGGAACGCGCACCGAGCAGGGCTAGGTCTAACAGATGTCTGTAGTGCTACTTTATTATCAAAATAATAGTAAAATATACACCAATCTAAGTGTTAAAGATGGGACGTAAGGCCTAATTGGCGTACCGCATACACTAACAAACGTGAATATCAGGCCAGCTCAATTATTCAGCCTCTTAAGAAGCAAACATGTACTTAAGCTCTTTAGCGTATAGTTCGGGAAGATTGTAGTTGCCTAATTCTAACTGGTTAAATAAGAACATTCAGAGCGGATGTTAGCGTTAAACAAAGATAGAGATTGTGTACGTTTACGTAGTGCTTTCTCATACCTAGCGAGTGGGAGCCCTCAGCCATTTTTTAAACGTTTTTTTTTTTAAATTCGTTGTTCAACAAACCACTATCAGTACATCTATAATTAGTTGAAACAAATAAAGTTTCTACGAAATTAGATTCAACCATGAATAAGAAAAGGAAAGGTGGCGATACCGGTCCTCTTCTCATATTTTTCACCGCATTTCACAAATTCGGTGCGTATGGTGTTATAAGTGCATGACTTTTTGAATGCTTTGTCTATGTGCCAGCCTCGCGGTTTAGGAGTCTAATAGCTATTGGGACTATGCGATGTTTGACTTTGTAATGGCTAGTAGACAAGAAGCGAATTAATTACCAAAAGGAATCGTTTTTGTAAGACCCTGAAACATTTAAGTAGATCATTTTATATTTTCCCGGTGACATTGTAACATAAAAAATAAAGAAAAAATATATACGCTTTTAGAAAGATTCAGCGTGCCAACATGGTTGTTGCTGGCAAACGAATGGCAAAATCGTTTTACACACCCAGTATCTACGTTGCTCAAGTTCAGTGGGGTAGCACATCACCATCAAGAAAAGATTTTGCCAGCTTCTACTTCAAGACCTTCGTTATGGTTTGACTCAGGTAGTAAACAATACCTTAAATGTTTGCAGAGATCCTAGGCGTTTAAATACAGATTGTTTCTTAAATAGGCTTTAGAGAGGGAGCAAGCTTTTAAAGGGCAAATCTGTGTGGCGCTGTGCCATTGTTATTCGGACCTACGTATACGTAAGCAATATGTTTTCCATTTGCCGCTGTAGGCTTGTATAGTTGTGTTTTTTTTTTATATGTTGAAGTTCAAACCAGCTTGCCACTAAATGGTGGCTTTCTACGATAAAGGTTCAGAGAACATCTAAGTCACCTAGTCGATCTATTCATAGGCTGGAGACATAGATACCCAAATGCAGATTTAGAGAAGAACCTATGCTCACCTTTTTCAAGACGGCATCAAATCCATCATCCGTGTCCTGGTCCGTAATGTATGCGGAATACATTTCGGCCGCAGAGATGGTCGATATCTCATACATCTGTTTAAGTGCCAATTTCACAGCAATATCGGGGCCCGAACTGCGAGCGAGATCTTCGAACGCTGTGAAGGCCGTATGTATACACACAAACGTATTGTTTGTTATAGAACAAATACCAAGATAATAGCCATTATTATTATCATATCCTCATAACATGTCCATGTAACACTGAGCTCTACGGTTTAGATAGAAGCAACCCTTCTACATCGAACATTCAGAAAACTATATGTATTCTTAACCTATATGTTCCACTTGAACCGCTGATGATTTTGGTAACACGGCATGTTTATTTTGAAAGGTTTTTCCTTCGAAACGTAGCATATCAAACCTTGTGCAACGGCTTGAACGGATGATACTATATAAAGGTAAACTGAAAAGTTTCCATGACAACAGAAACACGAGGATGGCATTAATCGTCAAAAATATTCTAATAATATGACTGTGTACACGTTGAACAATACTTGTGAAATCTATGGCCATCTTGAACCCCCAGTTCTAGCCTACCGCTCTTTCATGTCAGTTGACGTTGACGCTTTTCTAAAAATGTAGATATTGAATACCAAGCCGTCCTTAATCTCCTTAATTTAAAAGGCAATACGTATGCGTAAATCAGAACCCGAACTTGACCTTGTCTATAGGAACACTTGATCGTCACCTTCCAGTTTCGAGCAGCTGAATATACCCGTAATTGTATCAGCTTGCTTGATGATAAACGTATGGGGTGGATAAAAACGACAGCCACGAAAGGTAACACCGAAGCAATTCAGTAAATGTTCGTAGACGACCGTCGAATTAAAGTTGCTTTGAGAGAACGTACTTGCTATATGTGTTAAGCGACTATCTGATGTTAGGAAAGACAATAACTGAGACGGAGCACGCAGCATTACTTGATAACCTCGGAACAGAAATTGTCGAAAGCGGGCCCTAGTAAGAAAGCTTGGGTTCATTTATCATGCAGCGTATTTACCTACGTTTTACCGGATCTACACGACTTTCTTCTGTATCGTGCGTTCAATTGAGAAAGCTACCGCATTCATAAATGTGTACTTTCGAAACACCAAGAGCCCGACTAGTATTTGCCCAGAGTAGAGGGCTAGAAGGACGGGAGCATTGTCCAGGAACTGTATAGACCTACGACAAGATTTTATTGAAAAATAAAAGTCTGTGATAGAAAAAAAAAAAAAGACTTATTTTTGGGTCTGGTTGAAAGGATATTAGGATACCTGTCTCACGAACGTTAGCCATTAGAAACTAACGTTAAATATGATTTGTAATTTTTTGGTAAGTGAATGAGTAGATGATTCAGAGGTTTCCTATGTATGAAGAACTTGGATACGTGGTAGGTGTTGTCGGATGAGCTTTTAAAAAACAGTGTTTTCTTAGCCTATCAACGGAATAGCAACATACCAGGCTCAAGTCCCATCACTTGGCGAAGCACTAATTCTCCGTCTGTATCGGTGGTTCCCATCATAATATCCTGAAAACGAATGGAAGGTGCAAAACAAGCGTTAAAAAAGAAGCGTTGCCACGATTCTCATATTGTCATATGTCCTGTATTGGAAGCGTGTATGGTCGTTCAAGTGTTGCATGCATTTTAGTTTACTAATGGTTCACTGCTACTAGAAAGAGAGAGCAGAAATAATCAAAGCAGCGGTCTAGCGTTACTGCCGGAGATACAAATGAAGCACAATCGCTAACGATGTAAGTAATTGGCGTCCGTTATAGAAAAAACGGTTTGTCATATTTTAGGAAGCTGAGACATGTTTTTTCCAAGAGATCGCGCAAATGTACACGTTAAACATCAAGATCTTAGCAAGTGCAATGCTCTTGAATCCATTTGATAGTTTTGCATTATGCGTTCATAGAATATTCTGTCCGGTTCGTAGACTTTGTGATGGGAAAATTTTGAAATGTCGTCTACGAACTTAGAGATCCAGAAGTCTCATTCCAGTACTGCCACAGAATCGCGACGACGGGTTGTGTCCGTAACCTTCTCTGAAGGATTCCCTTACAGCTGCTAGCTACTTTCCTAGAGTATCGTAGTACAAACAGTATAGAATTTATGCTCATAGATAGAGAATGACAGCGTGAAAGGTTTCAATCGACGAAACAAAAGCAAAATAGGTCGTCACAACTAGTTTTCATATATCTTGGAATAACGTCTCATTTTGGCTTGAGAAGCATCGTATTAGCAAAGGTGCTAGAAGTACAGATGGCTTTGATAGTACTATGCCTAATAAAGGATATGTCCCTTGATGATGGTGCCATAGAGAGACGCAAAGCCAAACAAACAACTTAATTTGCGCGAGGCGATAACCTGAGTCTGTTACTTTTTACGCTTCAGATTAACAGCTTTCCCTCATGTATTAGGCCCCTCATATAGATAACGTTGTCATCTACACCACAAGTGGACACCATCTGCAACAGGCACTAATAACCCTGAATAGGTACGCTATCGTTAAATGTCCAGGACCAAGATAGAAACCATGAAGTTGCGAACAGAGGGCTTGCCAGTACTAACTAATCCTGTTTGTATGAGATAACTTTCAAATAGCCAACGCGTTTGCGTAGCTCGGCTTGTCACCAACGGCAACGAGAAGATGCTCACATAGAGAACTGAGTTGGAAGAACGATGTCGTACCTGTCAAAATTGACAGATCGCAGAACCTATTAGCTAGTTCCTTTAAAGACGGTACCGACTGCCGCATATAGAATTCCAATCCATAGCGAGCGAAGCGTCGGAAATTTAATAATTTTGAACAGATTAAAGCGTTTTTGAAACGGGTACTGAACCCTTTTTCTCGCGACGTCCATCGCAGTTATGTGAAAAGCGTTTAGTCTTCCGGAAAACGACGCGTACAAGCCATTCGCTTATAAACAAAGCTTAAAGAATAAATAGTAGAATAATAGGAGTAGATCCTCTCAACGTCAATTAAGACCGACGGCAAATGGAAGCAAAGTAAACAAAAATAATCGCCGTATCGTAGTACGGTTCGCGGTGCACGGGTTCCATCAGGTCGCTTGGAAAACGAAAGGATTCCACGAACTCAACAAGTTTTATCTGCGGACTTTTTAAATAGATGTGTCACTGATGGTTGTCGGAAACATTTCCAAACCGTATATATCCGTAGATATTATGTTCTAATTAGAATCTTTTTCTTTTTTCATCTAACACGCATACTATCTTTCGAGGTTTTTGTTCTCACTGATTTAGGTTGCATGAATGCGTAGTACATCAACAGAAGAACGTTGTTCACAACGTTTGAAAGAACAAGTATTTGGTTCATTAGTCCACCTCTTAAATCTATCGAAGACCATCTACGTCCACTACCGGATCACTAGAACATATACAAATATCTACAGATTTCGAAACGTCACTATAGCTGCTACGGAAATGGCCTTGCTTTGCAGCCTAGTGGTTCTCTAATCCTTTGCGGTTCGCAAGGACCAAGGTCTGCGAGGATGGAGAATGCTGAATTAGCCATCTTTAGAAAAACTAAATACACAAACGCTCCTTTCACGCCCTGTAAAGACATATGGCAGCTCAAGGCATCAAGATAACGTCTGTCCCGTCAGGATTGTTTTTGGTAGCCATGCAGGTAAAGACACTATATTTCTCTCATTAGTTCTTATATTCTGCTAAATTATAATGAATTCTTCTCAAATACAAGCAATGTCAAATCAGCTTGACCAAAACGTATAAAAAAAAATAGTGCCAACATAAGCCAACCTAAAACCAACGTGCGTATAAGTACACCGATGGCCTTATCAAAGGCATCGTATATAGACCGAAGGAATTACGAAGCACAAAACGTTTTAAAATAATGCACATGATGCGGGAAATCGTATCACTTACGATAGAGAACAGGTAACTTTTGGATCACTAATATGCTTTAATCTCTTGGAGCAATTCATGTTCAGTTTTAGTAGAAACTTTCAACAAGTCCTGGCTTTGAAAGACCTTTAAAAAAAAGAGTGCTTAGAAAATCGTGTGGAGCTTTTCCAAAATTGCCTGTTATGTCGAAAACATAGCACGAATTAAAAATGTGTAAATGATATATATCAAGAACATTATATATCCTACCACCATCGCAAGTGCAAGCAAAAAAAATGCCGAGAACGACTCAACTAATTGAAACGTTATCTGTTTAGTAAGGAAAATATTATTTTCCTATCTGTACAGTTTTTTTTTCTTTTTTTTTTTTTTTTTTTGCCAGTGATGATAATACCGAACCCCCCGAAGTCTTAAAAAGATTACAATTATTATCAGTTTATGAATAGGAACTGTTTGCACTACTGACTCGCGTTTGCGAAATGTTTTTAGAATCCGTGCGATAACTGACAGCAGCGGTAACAACAATAAATGATAGAGATGCAATAAGTTATTTTGTCTGCAGACATTTCCATTTTCTGCGCTACATTATGTAATTAAGCAATCTGCATCTAGCGGAATCACACGGTTCATGTCGCCGCCGTTGCGAGTCAGAAGTATATCGTGCTAGAGTTTGCATTTAGTTGTTTAGGCAATGGCTGTTCTTTCCGAGACTATACCATTGATGTGTTATGCAGCAGCACCACCAATCTAACTTAACAGAAATAGTTGCTAAAAATTAAACTTAGGCTTCTTAAAGACTAACTTACTCTATGCGATGATCCGGAACGAAAAAAAGGAAACTACCCGAATATTTGACAAAACATTCCTTAGCTTTCCCTTATGCTTGTGTTTAATTTACTAAACTTACTATAGTTTAATAAACGGAGACTGAGATCTTTAAATTCAAGAACTTTACGACGATACTTTGGGAAACGCTGCGGCGTATTCCATCTATAGATTAATATATAAGATATATGTGATTTATCACTGCTTTTAGCATTACGTGAGCTAAATAAAAATCGGATCTGAGCATCAATTTCCAAAAGTTGCAATAATCCTTTATCCGTTTTAGTTAATTTGCTAACACATATAATTTTCATCATTTTAGCGAAAGCAAGTAACTAATTATTAATTTTAGCCCCCAAAAAAACCTGAAACTATTAAATATCGAATTTTTTCCTCAATCTCTTTAAGTATTATGTCAACTTACTACAATTCTTTTGCTAAATTTATATTTTGCTTTTTTGTAGTCTTATTCTTTATCCGTCAAATAAATAATATAAGATCTTTTATTTCCTACGATTTATTTTACATTGATAAAATAAGTACAATAATAATAATTGCTCTAACCTTATGAATTGCTTGTCTGATAATATGATTATTAAAATATAATAAACTTCTTTTCTTCAATCAACGTTGCTTGAGTGCTACTTTTCGCTTTCATTCTTCTTTTTTTTTTTTTTCACTCCCCTATATATACATATATATAAAGAACGGTCATCCGTAGAGCAACTCAGCATGATACGGTGTTTTGCGACAGATCAGAGATCTTCAAGATGCCAGATAAATACGTGCCACGATATATGATTTGCATGGCTGTTGTTCTATATACACTAAGTCATGCCACATAAGAATAAGAAACATTTTTTTCTTTTTTAATAAGAAGTTCTCTTTGCCTTTGTTATACTATAAGGGAATACGCACAAGGACTAAGTCTCTGTCAAGTGTTTACGTACCGTACCGCACTTTTTAAATGGCTGGCTTTTTTCCGCCACAAAACCAAGCGTGTTTGTACCTTAACCGCTTCGCACTCCCCGAGGTTTAGCGGGCAGACCACTGGATACCGCCCTGGCGACACCGTGCCGGTGATAAATGGCTCACCAATAACACTTTCAGCGTACATAAACGAATACATCTATTTTATACTAAAACAACGTACATACATATCATATGCACCGGGAGAATAAACGACACCGACCATAGTACTAGTTATGATCAACGTCAAAACGTTCTACGTCCTTTTCTCCGACAGGCGCACCCCATATATGTGCTTTAGAAAGCAAAGTTCGATGACGGTTTGGATTGGTCAATAAACTGAAACTTTCGTCCGCAGTTATTTTCAAATATTGGCTGCCTTACTTTGTATCAATGAACACTTTGTTTGTTATATGTGAAGGGAGCAAGAATATTTAGCTGAGTCCAAAATGTCGACCAAATAGGTCGACTGCGCAGCTACCTGGGCTTGCAACCTCCAAGAACTTTAAATCTAGACTTCTAGCAAGCACATAAATCAAGAGGCAGGGGGTAAAGCTTTTGTGGCTGTCGACGTTGGAACAGAGTATCAACTAGCTCGAAACTCATGTCGAACAATTCGGTTAAGCTCCTTGAACTCTGTTAATATCACGTGGACTGCAGACAAACAAGTAGTTGCTATGGAAGTATAAGTCAAGTATTCATCATACCGTTATGCAGAGATGTATACATATTGAATATGATCATAAACCTGTTACCTAGGAAGAAATAGCGATAGCTAACAGCTTTTGCTGTAAGGTACACCCAAATAAAAAAAATAGTATTTTGAACAATCTCTAATCCACAACGAT